GTGGAATGGGGGAGTGGGAGGGGGTGGTGGGTTTAGGTCGTAGGTGGTGGGTTGTGATGAATTTATGATTTCTTTCAAAATTCTCCTCAATTAACGGAGTCAATGGAATGAATGGAATATGAGTGATTTTTTACTTTGGGGGGTTAAGGTGGTGGTGTATATTTATGGAGATTGAGATAGTGGAAATGGTTAACAGGTAGTAAAAAGAATGAATAGTGTAAATGTAAAAAGTTAATGAGTGTGAAAGTCTATTGGATTTAATGATGATTGTTGGGTGTGTGTTCTTGAAGAGTTTTGGGTTGGAGGGGAGAGGCTTTGATGGATTGTTGATTCGCTAATTGGAGAATGATACTACCTCGCTCCGTAATGCAAGGGAAGTTTTTTTTATTAAAACACATCTCCCAGGAAACTGATTTGGTTGGGTTAGAGAGGGATTTGGAATGAGTTCAAGAAAGTATCTACCTCTGGTGAATAGATAGATGCCTGTGTAAGTTGTTGAGTGAAGCCCTCCTTGCTATGCCCCATCGGATAAATGATTCTCCGATGTAGGGATGATATCCAGGCAGCTTCCCCAAGCTCAAGCTCCAGCTCCAGCGCCTCTACCCCACGATTTCGAACTTATTCTACGTCAACTTTGATATCTCTTCGCACCGACCACAAAAGTGTTTGGGCATCCCAGAAGACTGTCGTAGTACCTGCAGAATAGTTCAACACCAAAAACCAGCGTTTCAAATCCTTGTGGTGTCAACCTCAAGATGGCTACTCTACAGGGCGCCCCATCATCCCCAACACAGGTCAGCATGAGCAGACTGATTGTTCAAGGTTAGTCAATTCTTCTTCTTCTCTTCTACAGGGCAACTTTCTTTCTAATGGCGTAAAACTACACAGAACCCCCCAAATTCGATCTCGAGACCTATATCCAAAACTACGAAGGTGCGTATCAACGCCATTTCCCTCCACCTCGGAACAAGTAACTAAACGATTACCAGGTCGAACTCGATGGGATCGGCTTATACACATAGGCCTACACTCTGCATTTATCGGAGTCGACGCTCTCAAGCTAGCGGTTAGAGAGGCAAAGGCCGGGAAAGACACCAAACGATATCGCGATGCTGTTGCACATCTGCAGACGATTGGAAACGGCGAACCTGAGGCGGAGCTAGACAAGGCATGGGTCGAGAAGCAGGATAAATTGAATGCTGAGGAGACACGTCGTGCTGAGGCTGAGTTGAAGGGCTACAAGAATAATCTCATCAAGGAGAGTATCCGAGTACGTCGCCCCTCATGCGATTTCAAGTCGGTACGAGTGCGTAAAGAATAAAGACTGACGTATGGGACAGATGGGAAATGAAGATCTAGGAAAGCATTTCCAAGCTATGGGCGAGCTCCAACGCGCACAAGAGGCATACAATCGCATGAGAACAGATGTCTCAAATGCCAAGCACATTATCGATGTATGCAAGCATCAAATCGATATATCAGTTGAGATGAAGCAATGGATCGCGGTCACTTCCAACGCACAAAAGATTCGAGGTGCTATGTCGGAGGAACCAATTCAACCATATGTTGCGGCAGCCGAAGGGCTATCAGCTTTCGAGCAGGGGGATTATCTCGGTGCTGCTATGCTTTTCCTTTCTACCGAACCTGGAATGGGACGAATGTGCGCTGCCTTCATCAGTCCGAATGATGTCGCAATTTATGGCGGTCTCTGTGCCCTTGCAACGATGGATCGCAATGAATTGCAAAGACGAGTTTTGGAGAATTCCAATTTCCGTACCTACTTGGAGCTTGAACCACAAATTCGACGTGCGATTGGCTTCTTCATCAACTGCCGATACACAAGTTGTTTGGCTGTCCTCGAGTCTTATCGTGCCGATTACCTTTTGGATTATTATATGAACTCGCATATTGACAGCATCTACCAAATGGTTCGTGTCAAGTGTATTGTCAACTACTTCATTCCATTCTCCAAGGTTACATTGGCAAGTCTTAACGAAGCATTTGCGGCACCAGGCAAGACGATGAATCAAGAGTTACTTGGTATGATTAAGTGTGGTGAACTCGATGCAAGAATTAATCTAGTGGATGGCGTAAGTTATACTCTTACTATACCTCATATTCAAAGTTACTAATGTAATCTCCTTTACAGCTTCTCGAAGCCCGCAAAACCAACCCGCGTCAAGAAACCTTCCGCGAAGCCCTTGATCTCACAGAAGAGTTCCAAAAAGAATCCCGACGTCGAATCTTCCACATGAGCATCAAGATGGCCAATCTCGAGGTTGTGCCGCAGAAGGGACGTGGTATTAATAACCAAAGTTTTGGTGATTTTGGTGATCAGTTCGCAGGTGGTCTGAGTAGTCTTCATCCTATTGCACCAAAAGGGAGCTTTTAAGGAGGTGATGAAGGGAGACGGATATGGACCGGGTGAGTATTATGATGCACATGTAGTATGATATGGGATTTTCTTTGGCTTTGGCGTAATGGGAGACATTTGCATGGTTGGCGTCTGGAGAGGGACATGATTGATGAAGGAATGAGTGGAAAAATGAGACAAGAGAGGTATGAGGTATGCAATCAGAAGAGATGAGATGATATTTGAGATACCTTTACTTCACGAATGAATGTCGAGATTCACATCATAATTGCCACTTTTTTCTTTTTCATCCGTTACTGTAAGTATAGATTCTGATGAAGATCACGACTGTTTTCATACTCGTACAATATCCCTCTACCAGTATAGAAAAGCAAATAAACTCCTAAAACGGGTTAGCGCCACCAATCCCCATCCCACTCGCACGTTCCACCAATCAACATCCCCGTATGAGTACTGTAACCTTAATCGTGCTTCTACTGGTCTGGCATGGGCCACCTTCCCCACTTTGCTACAGTAGGTAGGTACAAGTACAAGTAGCACCCGTGGATTCGTACTTTGGTAGTACGTACCTTTCCCCTGCCTACGACGAGACGACGTCAGGAAATCGATCGATGAACTTTATCGGGCAATCTATCGGATTCTTACACTTCTCACCATAACCTACATAGAGAGGACGATAAGCAGGATAGGAAGGAATTTGGTCGGGTGTCTTTCATCCTATCTCGTTGGTGTGTGTAGACTGGTTGAAGGTTGGAAGAGCTATTGATTGTTGATTGAAGCTTCGTTGGATTTACGAAGGGACTAAGTAGGTGAAGGGACTAGATTGAGAAGGAGCAGATTGATTGATAGGGATGCATCGAAGTGTTATGGAGACTGTGATGCGGGGGATGAAGGTGCAGGAGGGGAATGGAGAGGAGTGGAATTTGGTGGAGTTTAGGGGGGTGGGGAGGGGGTGCGGTGAGGGTGAGGCGATGGGAGGGATTGGGGATGTGTGAGTTTCTTTCTTCTCTTGAAGTCGATTCTTTTCTTTGTTTTGAGGGTTGCTTGTTTGGATGGGTGATTGTTTGGGGAGATGGGTTGGTGTGTGATGGGAGATGGGTGTGGATGGATGGATGAGGTGGTAAAGGATTGGTTTGGGTTGTTTGATGGTTAATCGATGAGGGGGAAAGTTGAAGAGGCCTGGAGATGGGAGACGGGCGAGAGAGGGAGCGAGTGAGTGGATAGATGCTAATTTGATCTCTAATAGGGTCTTCAAGAAGGTTGATGATGCTACAGATGCTACAGAGGGGACCTCGATAGGTCCGGAGAAGGGAGACAGGTTTACTGGTTTGTGGAATCTTTCCTATCGTTTTTTTCTTTCTTTGATTCCGCTTATTCTTCTGTGCTGTCTTGATTGAGGAGTGGGGGTGTGGTTTTTTTTGATGAGTGATGAGGCGGTGGTCGTGGGACTGGGTGGATTTGAGGGGATTTCAGGGGTGGAGGATTGGAAGGGGGATATGATGGTAGAGACCAAGTGGTTCTGCTTGTATATGAGGCTATACACGGATTATTTTCGGCTTGGAGCTTCAACGACGAGGATATGTTTGGAGACAAACAGCAGTTTCCTTCCTCCTTCTCCTATTCTTTTATATCGACATCTTCATGTTGAAGAACGTTAATAATTGCTGTGTAGCAAAGTTACATGCTCGAGGAGTAGCAAAACGTCTTGGTGTCAAGGATGGTCTCATCTATCTATCCGGATTGCCTTCAATGACATACGAAGACTCAGATCAAGCGGTATTCTTTCGTCAACGTCGATACTTCTATTATCTGAGTGGTCTCAACACACCCGACTGCTTCGTCACCTACCACATAAAAACCGATTGCCTAACTGCTTGGATTCCACCTCCCAATTATGGTCGTAGTGTTCTATACAATGGCCAGAATCCAACGCCTGAAGAGATATTCGCCATCTCAGATTTCGACAGCGTCGCATACAACACAGAATTGAGAGGAGCTCTTTCGAAATACGCTCACCGAGAACCCGGAAAAATCTATCTCCTACACGATTTCCAGTTTTCGGCCATTTTAGAGACAATCACTTGGCCCACAGGCGAGACTACCTCTTTACATTCCATCGGATCTCGATTCGATGTCAATTCCTTGATGCCTGCCATGAATCTTTGTCGTGCAATCAAATCACCTTATGAAATCAAGTGTATCCGGAAGGCTTGTGATGTTTCTGCACTGGCACATAAAAATGTCCTTCGTGCTCTAAGACAGATTTCTAATGAGACGCATGTTGAGGCCATCTTTCATGCAACTTGCATCTTCAATCATGCTAAGCGACAGGCATATGGTGTTATTGCTGGTTCTGGCACTAATGCGAGTTTACTCCGTAAGTAGTTGGTTTTATTGTTCTGTCACTCCATCGCAACGGAATATCAACTGATCGGTATTTTAGACTACGGTACCAACGACGCGGACTTTGACCAAAAACAATTGATGGTCCTAGATGCCGGATGTGAGTGGAAAAACTACTCATCAGACATCACCCGCACATTCCCCCTCAACGGAGAATGGACACCAGAAGCAAAAGAGATCTACGACCTCGTCGACCAAATGCAACGAGAATGCATCGCCATGGTCAAACCCGGAGCCGATTACCGAATCGTCGATCGACACGCTCATAAAGTTGCCGTTCGAGGCCTCATGAAGCTGGGAATCCTACGAAATGGGACCTTCCAAGAGATCTATGAAGCGGGCGCCTCTACCCCCTTCTTACCTCATGGTCTTGGTCGTAAGTTCTCCATCTCCACTTTCCTCCCAGCATTCAATTCCCGCAGACTAACAAAATCAATAGATTACATGGGCCTCGAAGTCCACGACGTCGTCGAAACCAGCTCTACCTCCCTCCTACCCCACTCCCACATCCACTCCCCCGATTTCCGCGCCTCCGAAACCACCATGCCCAGCTACGCGCCGGCGATTCTGGAGGTCAACCATGTGCTCACGGTCGAGCCGGGTATCTACTTTAACCGTGATGCCTTTGAGCGGATGTACCTGAAGGATCCCGTCTTGAAGAAGTATATCAATAAAGAGGGACTGGAACGGTATTATCCTGTTGGAGGCGTACGGATCGAGGATGATATTTTGGTTGTTGAGGGGGGGAATGAGGTGTTGAGTTTGGTGCCGAAGGGGGAGGAGGCATTGCGGATTATTAGGGAGGGTGGCGAGGGGTTTTAGAGTGAGGATTGTGATGGGGAGTGAGGGGAGAGTTGTATGTTTATTTTTTATTTGTGGGCTTTGTCTTTGTGTGTTTGTGTATTTGTGTGTTTGTGTAAGATTCGGGATATTTCTTCTTTCTGAGGTTAGTTTAAAAGGTTATGGAATTCACGTTATTGGGGTTTCAAATCGCTGTGCTGATTTGACTTTCCTTTTTTTTCCCCGCCTAAATGGAGAGGTTACTCATAGCCAGTAAGATATAAGTATTATCTTTCCCCTCACAGACAGACAGAAAAACAGACAGATATATAGACAGATGCGAAGACCAAGGAGGATCTCCAGCCTAAATTCAAGTACCATTGTCGCGGACCTCACTACTGTAGAAGGACTAATAAATATTGACTATTAACTTAATCAGGAAACCTCTTCTGATGATTTTCGGTTATCAATTTTTAAACGATCTAAGCGTGAGAGAGAGGGGGGGGGAGGTAAAGAAGAAATTAGATATAAGGATATGGATGTGGAAATGGATGTGAGATGTATGGGATGTATGAGATCCTAGAGACAGAGGGGGAGGGAAGGGGAGGTGATGCGAGGATAATGGGGGGTAGATATATGGTAAGAGGAGGGAGAGCTTTGAGGTGTTGAGGGGGCTGGATGTATATAGTGATTTGCGATGTGGAAGGAGCGGGAGAGTGAGGTTGTGGGCTTGAGAGGAGAGTTGGTTCTTTAGTCAGGGAGAGACTGGATGAGAAAAGATTGGATGGATATCTAGGGTTTATGGTTAGTATGTAGATGCTAAGGGTCTAAAATGTGTCTTTGTATTTTATGTATGGTTTTGGGGTGAATTATAGGGGGTTGAAGAGTAGCTGGTTGATTGTAGGATTTGAGGTGAATGCTTAGATGTAAGGTTTCATCACATGGTAGGTGTTACTAGAAGAGTGGCAATTCACTGGTGGGAAGGGTTGATGATGGTAGTTGGTATTCACTGACACTTAGTGATATGGTTGACAGTACTCGTCACTTACTCTTCTCTTCTTCATTCTCGGAATTGGTCTGGATTATTCTAACGTACTTTTTCGTAGGCAATGTTTGGAAAGTGGTGTTTGTTGTGTGTATTGTATATATACTCATAGTCACAACAGTATCAAGTCCGGTCGCACAGTGAGATTCTGTCTAAAATAAACTCTAGAGATTTTGAGTGTTACGCAACAGCCTTGAATGCGAATTTTGCTGTGTCATGTATAATAAGTCGTCTTAGTGGAAGATTTACCTTGGTGTATCTATCTTGTCGATGCTGTATAATTAATCATTCTTTAATATCGAGAATGACGAGCAAGCCGCCTGGTGGGAGGATGGATCTATATAATATCAGAGTTTTACTCCCACTAGGTCATAGAAAACGGAACATCGTGAAACTGGTGTTCAAGAAAGAGAGTGGACTTCTGATTTAATAGGATCTGGAATACTACCAGCGTTGGTTTCGGAGAGGACGTGGACTGGATTTTAGTTTTAAGGTATGTATACCTAGGATTCGTCACGGGATGGACATCTGGATTTTCAACCCACGGCCTGGGTTTTGATGTTGAAGTGAGAGATGGAGTTTAGATAGAGGGAGAGCGAAATTAATGAATTTTTGTAGACAGGTATCGTATTAAGAAATAGATCACAGTGTTTCTGTAAGGTTCTACCCAATGTTCTGTAGAGCAGATATATGTGCGAACACAACAGAAGTATCGTAGGTATAAGGAGCATAGAGTTAAGGTGAAGCAAGTAAGGAAGTTCTGGACTTGTTATAGTGAGACTATAGACTTGGAGCTTCTTGGTCCTACTAGAGCGTGGAAATAAGTATGATCTTGAAGCATTGTTTGGTATTTATGAATAAGTGATTCTAATGTCTCTTTCTCCTGTTATAGGCTTCCTCTCCTGGATGACTTGATTCCCTCTATGCTAAGATTAACTAGGGCGAAACGGGGTCTTACGTCTATTTGGCAGTTGCTAATATGCTTTAAGATCTGAGATGTTTTATATGGATTCTTGGAAGGGGTTAAAGCGTAGCTGATAGTGAGATACATAGGCGTATGAGAAGTGGTTTTGAGATAATAGGGGGTAGATGGTTATATATAAGATTACATGCTATGATCAATGTTTCTAGAAGCGTACATCAATTCACTGACGGTTCAACTTAGTAATCCATTCACTAACACTCAGTTCTGTGACATGGCTATAACAAGAGTGGAGACTACGTGAATGTTGGTTTGTGTGAGAGGGGGCTGTGAGGGCGTAACCTCTTTGCAGTCAATGAGTATATATATCTAAGTTCCTATGCATACCACAAACCACAACACACAACATTCCTCTCCGTGTGAGCATCAACCCTAAAACTCTCACAACAAACATAGCACAAAACACCCACCCACTCAACTCAACAAAACACAAGACGACCAAAAACATAACCACAAACAAAGATGTCCTCCTCACCAACTCCAACACCAACAGGCACCACGAACCCAGAATCCCGCCCCAGCTATTGGTACGGATTCCTCGTCTTGTCGTGGCAGTTGGTTTCACTATCATCTTTCTCTGCGTGGTGGGATACTGCCATCGACGTAATAAGCTGCGGAGGGCCAAGGAACAGAATGTTAGGCAGCTTGCGGATGGGTTGGGTAGGAGAATGCAGAATTTGAAGGCGGATGAGATGGGATTTGAGATGGTGGATTTGGAGGTTGGTGGAGCGGCTGGGACTGGAAAGGGGAAGGGCAAAGAGGTTAAGGGAGATGAGATTCAGTCACCAAGCAAAGCCTATATGGGAGGAAATGTCATATGACGTTGAGATGAAGACACTTGAGGTGTATGAGATGAGCGGGTAGTCTCGCAGGTTCGTAGGAAAGCTGTGGCTTGATGGACTTGCGAATATGAGTGAACGGACTTGAAAAATGGAATCGGGGGCACGGTACGAAGAAAAACACATAAGACGGCAGATATCCCGAACATAACGGGTAGGATGTATGTAGTAATGGCTTACGAACTATCTACCTAGTCTACTACGGTAAAACCAAGAATACAGTAGTTCATCAAGTAGACACTTATTCTATTTTCCCTATATCTACTTTCTAGCGTTTTGAAAGGTAACTCATATTATTGTATGTTGTCAGGATAAAATGCCAGGAAATCCAGAATGGTAGAAGAAGAATTTTATTAAGCAAACTAAAGAGCTAATAACCAAGGGAGCGAATGAGAACTATATATATAATAGTCTCTGAAGGTTGTACGAGAGACTGAGACTTGAATAAAACCTGTTCAACCTTGGTTTATATGATGGAAACACCTGTCAGTATAAACCTCACAGCATCATATGTTGATGATACTCATAAGCTTCAGGTAGGAGTTGCTAAAAAACAAGAACAAGATCCGTCGATAAACATTTCGCGTAATGAGATCTTGAAAGTATATAATCTTGAATAAATCGACCAAAGTATTTTGGTTTACTAATGTATCCTCGAACCCTTTCTAGATTACAATACTAAAGTTAAGAACTACTTCTACGCTAACAAAAACGAATACGCTCGGTGGTTAAGCAGCCGAATGTGACAGTTTTTGATTTAGTGAATAAGGGTTCGCTTAGCGAAGTTGCGGGTGTACCCTTCCGTAGATAGACAAATACCTAAGGAGTGCGAAGAGCGTCTCTCTTCCCTCCTTGCGAACAATCTATTCCTTGATCCCCACCATAACACCGAAGCGCAAATTCTCCAAGTTCCAAACCATAGCTAACTCAAAAGACTAGCTTATACTCACAAAGCGGGCTTTATGCAGCCTTGTTTAAACAATAGGATCTCTCAGCTAATACATAAGTTGAGAGTGTTCTATAGCCTCTCTAGTTTGATTAGTTAATTTTCAGTCAAGCCTGTTAAACACGTAGCCTAATTAAATGCGGCCTCAGCTAATGAATAGGTCGAGATTAGATATAGCGTTTCTAGTTACGACCGAGTCATAAGTATAGCCCTCTCTCTTCTACTTACGAATATATTAATTGTTAATTCCCAAGCTTCTAAACATTGTCACGAAGAATATAGCGATCCCAGCTTCCCAATGAGTAATGATGTTTAGTCATTCGAGAATAGCTATAGCTACATGATGCTAGCCCAGGACTATGTGTATTTAAGCGAACATTCTTTTATAAAATTACCGTAGATTAAGTAGCCCTTTCGCTAGAGTAGTTCTAGCCGTTCTATGAAACTCCAGCTGCCGACCTAGCTTCTTAGCGGTCATCCTATATTCTTAGTACACCCTCTTTCTCCAGTCCTTTCTAATCCTGTTAATCTAGTTCAAAGACTGATTTATCCGAGCTTAAAAAAAGACTTGTGGTAATCCCGCATAAATCCCTTCTAAAGTTCTGCGCGTCGAGCTCGGTCGTCACATTCTTCTTAATAAAATTAGCCTTGTACTCTAATGCCTTATTACTAAGAGCGCTTTTGAGTAAAGTCTATTCCAAACAAGTAGAGTAATTCATAACCAGATCCCTTGAACCTCTAGAAAAACAACAAGGAACTTACAATAATAAATACAACAGCTCACAATACTAAGTAGAAGGTTAATTAATATCTTCTTAGACTCTTATTTATTCTGATTATCCTCTACCTATGTAAACCCCCCAATTAAATTTATCCACTTTTGGCTATTAAAAGAAGTTCAAAGAACCGTACTTAAACCAAATCACAACCAAATAACTAGCAACCAGAGATTAAACAACAGCATATTAGTCCATCTCAAATATAACACTCTGAGCCTCACAGACAAGATAACCTGTCGCCTAAGCATGATCATCCTTTATTCGGCGGTGGACTTGGGTACGAGCATTAATCCACTATGCTGCAGCCTGCAGCTTTTTGTCGGATGACAAAAGGTTCTAGCGCTAGCATGACCATATTCTCAAGTACCTACAGAATTCTACTCGATGTTTTGAGTGTGTGTTTAGGGAATGGTAGGGGCGATGGCCACAAGTACTCGTAAGATATCTAAGAACGTCTGATGTAGAGCGGAGCGAACAGCGCATGTAGATTCACCTCACGTTAACAAGATAAGTGAGACTGGCGCAATGATCTATGGAGCTGCTTTCGCTCTTCTTAACCTAATAAAAGCAGATATAAACCGCCAGGGAGAAGTATCCTCGTTCTCCTTTCAACACTCAGATGACAGAGTGAGAAGCGGATAAGTGATCACGAATTACAGTTAGAAAGTATGTTGAGCATGCATATTCTGGCATTCAAACCTATCTTAAATTTAGGTGGCGTTCCATGATATTTAATGGACCCACAAATCTGTAAATAGCTTCTTGTCTCTCAAGCGGTCACAATACAATATAATAAGCCATATCCAAGTTCTTCAAGCGCTCAACAGGCTATGAGCCCGGGGATACAATAAACAAGACGTCCACTGTGTTGAACTAAATAGCGATTGTTAAGGAGGCATGCAAATCGCGGAGAACCAAGAACTACACCAAAGGACTAAACACCTTTTTTGTGAGTATCAATTTGTAAGAGAGAGAATAAGTGATGGAATGTTGGAATTGTAGCATTTAAATACCCTTGAAATGCCGGCTGATGGACTCACTGAAATGCTCAAGAACAATACGTATAAAGCTTTTGTTGAGCTATTGAAATTGGTCCAATTAGCGTGAGAGGAGGTGGCTAACAAAGACGGAAAGAGATTTTTCATTGAAGCTATTGTGAACGCAGAATAGGGGGTGTGTTAAGCATATTCTAGCAATCAAACCTATCTTAAATTAGGTGGCGTACTCGTACTGTACCATAATATATTATGAACCCACAAATCTGTAAATAGCTTCGTTTCTCTTAAGCGGTCACGGTCACAATATAATACAATAAGCCATATCCAAGTTCTTCAAGCGCTTAACACAGTATATATGAGGCGAGCACGGATGGTAATCGTCATACTCTCTCCCAACAACCGCTGGACCTGGACCTGGTTGACCCAATCATGTGTAAGGCTTAGCTGTTTTGCTGGAGCAGATGCGAGAACCTTTGGAACTGCTACCGGGACTCGGGGGGCAGCAATAGGTGTGGTAATTGAAGATTAGGCGTTGCACGAGGGAGCGGTCGTCTTCGTACGTATACGTGGGTTCTCATTCAGAGGAGGAGAGGCCGTACGGGTAACGGGTTTCTTCGTTTTTCGGAGATTGGTGTATTATTGGCGGCCATGGATCAGCCAAATGATCCCTAGCTCCTCGATCGATATGCCGTGGCTGTAATTCAGGATACCAATAAATGTGGAAGCGCGCTTGGCTAGTATTCGTACCATTTATAAAGTAGGGCCTTTATAAAGTAGGGCGCGAAGTTAATACCACAGGTACCCAGTTCAAACCCCTACTTAGGTAGCTCGTAAATATAGTATTAACTTTGGGTAAATAAAATAAATATCTATATCTTACGCTAATATGATACCTTCCTAATAATAAAAAGGCTTCTTAGCCTAAATGGAGACTCCTAATCTATATTACATTTTAGGAATAGAAAAGTAAAGTAAGGTTTTAGTATATAAGTTACTCTCTAAAGTTTAGTGTGACGGTTATGGTCACGAGGGCTGGATGTCACATGCTCGCTTAGCGAGGCGCTAGCGCGCACGACCTGTATTTAGTTCCCAGCTCTCTCGAGCTCTCCTTCTTTCCTCGTCTTTTGTCCTAAGAATAGAGTGTTAATTGTTCTGAGTTCTACCTGAAGCACGTCTGTCACATTTAGCCTTTTAAAAATAAATAAACTACTCGCGTAAGTATATTATTTGAATCACGGACTACTATCTTTATAAAATACAAGAGAAATATACCTTACGCGAAGTTATCTTCTATAGCTTCTCTATATTTATCTGAACCCCTTAGTTGAAATTCCATTCCCTTGAGAAAAAATAACAATTTAAACTATTAAATATTTGAAAGATAAACTTTTGAAAAAGAGTACTCTGTATAGAAATAGTATTACTACAAGATATAACATCTAAAAGTATTACCCACGCTCATAAAACAGAAGAAAGAAACATATAATCTTACGCGACTCCAAAAATCCCACAAAAGAGGTGCTACACGGAAAAGTGAGACTCCTCGGCAGATTCACTCCTCCCCCTCGCTTAGCAACCCCCACCACTCTCTCTACCAAATCCAACAACACCATAAAAACTACCATCAACAACAACAACAGCAACAGCACCACCACCAAAACCATCACCACAATGCCAGAAATCGTTCTGGAACCCCTCGTTCCCTTGGAAGCGAGGGACGACGCCCTCAGCGGCGACATCGTCGACCCCCCCGCACTCCCCGCCGACGAGCGCCCACACTGGGGCATCGTCTACATCCACCGAGACCTCCTCCACCTCCTGCTGCCGCAACCCCCTCCGCCTGCTGTCGTCCTGGCGGCAGGTTGGCCCGGGCCGCAGGAGTGGGTCGACATGGGAGGGGAGGGAAGTCGGAGGATGTACCTGGACAATGAGTCCTGGTACACCTGGAGGACCCGCGCGGGGGAGGTCTTTATGGAGCGCGGGAACGACCTTTGGGTCCGCACTCAGGCGGCGTACCAGTATCGTAAGTAGTGCTGGAATGAATCGGATACAGGAAGAAAGAGAAGCTGACTTGGGGAATCGTGTAGGGGATGAGGATACTGGTGCCTTGGTTGAGGTGCCGGATGTATGGCAGTGTGGGTGCTCAAAAGCTTGAACTGAATGGGCAAGGGATGAAGCTGACTTGAGATGAATTGATAGACCTGGGGGCGTTGAGATACTTGCCCCGTAGGGGTTAAGTTTCTCGACTGCCGACCAAGGAGAGAGCGCCTTCGCCGGCACAGTTTCTGACCGGTCCAACCATGAGTACCACTAGGTGTCGCCGCAAGTGGTTGGTTGATGTCCGCGATGGACTATGGTGGCAAGGCGGAATGCTCGCATCCTGTGTTCTCATATCGTGGGAGGGAGGTGGAGGTATATATATATATATATATATATATGGCTGAGGCTAGGTGACATTTCCCCTTTCCAAATTCGCGAGATGAGACCACTTGGACTTCCGATCCTCTCCGCGCATGACCATAAGATCAGAGCTAACCCATATATCAAGCCAAGTTAGAAAAGGGTCTGCTGTCGGAGAGTAACACTCTACTATAACGCCGGTCGACGACGATCTCTCGTTATCAAGTACCGTTCAAAATACCGAAAACACCTTCCGAAACAGCAAAGAAACGTCAAATCCACAGCATCCCCTGACCAATTCGCAATTTCCAAGTTAGACTTCCAACAAAGCAGATCTCCCGATGATGCATATTGGAATCTCCGTTCATCAAGACGTACCCATCGTTCCGAGGAGTTGGCGAACTCAACCGTTTTCTCGAACAAATGCAAGCGAGCAACCCTGCCGACATCAAGTACCAACGAGACATGCGAAAACAGAAACACCTGAACATCAACGAGTTGAAGGACAGCGCCTCTTTTGTCGAGATCGGTGCCGAGAGATCAAGCATGCCAGAAGAAAGTACCCTTGGGAATATATGCACTCATTACATGGCATATGCCCCCCAGGGCGTGATAGGGGAAGAAGGATGGGCGGCGATCATACGACTTCGGCTACGAGACCCACGCTACCAAACTGGCGGATCACAACCACAAGCTCGTTCGAGGGACAAAAGAGATTATTCAACCATCTCGGTCGCTTGCTCTTGTCAACCAAGTCAAGCCGCTCAATGTTGGTAACAAGCAAGCTTCCAGCAACGGCCAAACAAGTGAAGCAGTCAAGGCAACCGAGGCAGCTCTTACAGCCAAGTCACTAGCGACCGAAAGACAAAAGGATGTCCGCATATCAACCATGAGTGAAAGCGAGGTTATGGTCAAACTGAAGGAGGCAGTGCCAAAAGATGACCCGAACATGCCTTATTCCGAGCAAATGTTGGCGCTGTCAATGGCAACGGTGACTGTTTGAATAGAAGCGCCAAGTTTGCGAGAGAGCGAGACGACTTTCTTATCAATCCTGCTGGGGGATCGTCTTGATATTCGGTATGCACCTCGCATTACCAAAGCAACCAGAAAAAGAATGCTGGAACACTGCAACTAGGAGAAGGAGGTAGTGGGCAGAAAGGAAAGGGCGAAACAGAATTGAAAGAGAAAGATTTACGTTTCCAGATAAAAATCAGACTCCATTCTTGATATAAAAGAAGAAAAAAGAAATGGTATCTTCGCTTCGAAATGACTGGTTCCAAACCCCCATAATTCCCTCGCCGTTTCCTATATTGTACAATACAAAAGACTCACATCATAAATACGCCTTTCGCCGTAGAACCAAGTGGTGGACACATATGTTGAGATTTTGGTAGCAGAGGCAGCGGTCGAATTACTTTTCGTTCTCCTTTTCGTCGAGACAGACGCAGAGAGCTGCCATAAGTGTGAGGTCGACACCCGGTGCGACTATTACGTAGTACTAGCAAACGTCTGTTAGCACTTGTGGATTCTCAAAAAACATTCCTTTCTCCCTTTAATAGCACCAAGAGAGACAGGGTTAACAAATGAATAGCTCGGAAGAATCGTAGTATATGTTACTCCATTCTTCAAGGCCTTTCCGCACGATCTTTCTCAAACCCTCGAGCTCCAATGGAAATACTCACAGACTGTTGTCCCCCGATCAATTCTCGCATATTGAAAACACTCCTCGAGATCTGTGCAACCACCATCCCGCCCATCGTAATAGTCGCGCTTCGATCCAGCCAATCGCCCTTGACAAGCAACTCGACCGGCTGCTGAGTACTAGCATTAACAAAGGTAGCAACCATCTTCGACTTTCCAACTACCATCATCATTAGCCTTTCTCCTCTTCTCTCCCCACCCAAGGGATCAACTTACTACTAAACTTCCCCTTAATCTCAAACAAAATACGACCCGTCCCTGCCTCCTCAGCATAAAACGTCTTATGTATCGCAATCAACTTATTCCTCAGACTAAACAGCGGATTCCCTCTCGTATCCATAAACTCCTTCCTATCAGACAGGGAGAACGTTGTGCCGCGACATTGTACGACTTCTAGGCCCGCCTCGTCGGTTATGTGGAAGGTGTCGCCGGAGAGGGAGAAGACTTTTTCTTTCATCACTAGGGTTGTTTGTTTGCCCACGCAGTAGTTGGGATTCACGCCTAGAGGCGGATTGACAGGTGCGAGATGGATGTGTGCCATGATGGTGGCTGGTTGATTGTTTGTTTGGTGATGGGGTTGAGAGAGAGATGGAGCAAGCTGGGGTTGAGGTGCTGTCGGATATTCGTCGGTGTTTAGATTAGGGAGGAGGGGTAACCGATAAGGAGCTAGCTCTCAGGACCTCAAGTGAGCAGAGGGGTGGTCTTCAGTTATTTATGTTGTAAGATTACAAATAGAAAGAGAAAATATGGATGTGTGAATCAGAGATTTTCGTCTCTTCAAAGGAAGCTGTGATTGTACCAACAGTAAAGCCTTTATACCAACACATTCCCCAACACCAAAGCTTGCATGGCGCAGCAGCTGAAGATGGGATGCTGAAGATGGGATACGCCTGCCAAGCGAGAAAATACGAAGCTATGCTGCGCCCCAGGTTCCCAGAGCTGTGGTTGGTGTCTCATCCCTCTGTTGATCATCTGTACTGTAGAGCTTCGTCATGAACCTTACTCATTTTGAGTTTCATCATTGGCGATTGACTTCGGTGATTAGCCATCGTATAAAGATCTGTTCTACAACAAGGATGATTCCTGAGTCCATGTGGCTCAGCTTGCCACCTTCTTCTTAGTTCCTCGGAAGTTTTACTATACATCGTACTCGTAAAGTAAAATGTTTGCACTCCACTAAAAGAATGGCAACTAATACAATAAATAAGTAGTGCACAAGTGGTTTCTCTGTCGTCATTGTTTATGAAGGTGATAGTTTAAAATAATTCCGTTTAGAGAAATGTAAATCAGAACCTTTAGATTGACTGTAACACCCTCTGCTATTATTTGGCTGTCCCTTCTTTCAGACAGTGAGTAAATCATTGAGTCAAACTCCGATTCATAATCCATACGGAGTACTTGTATTGAAGAGATTCACAATCCTTTCAAAGCGCAGTAAAGTTATTTACCGTTATAACGGAAATTGAAGGATCTAGAAAAGAATCAGATCTGCTTCATTCCTACTTTTCTAGACTGAATTCCCATGATCCATAACCTAGACCCCTATCTCACTTTTCAGCAAATGACCCCTCTCCTAAACAAGCAAAAACGAGAAAGCAAATGGGTATCTCCGTATGACTCCACCTTCTTACCATACGCCATAAATGTGCCATAACGCAACAGCCAAATGAAAAATCCAGCCAAATCATCCGATCAATCCTTCAACCCAACCCCAAACTCATCATACAACTCTCCAATCCTCGTCCCTCGATGCTCGGCAATCATTCCAATGAGCCCCTGCCCAACATCTCGGATATCATTGTACTGATGCAGAAGATGGATGTGTTGCTTCACTGTTTCGGCTGCTGGATTTCTGTTACATTTCATCAGTTCATGTTTTCCTGTGTGGTAGTATATAAGGTCAAGATGGGGGAGGAGAGGAAGAGCGAGGTTAAGTGAAAGGAAGTTGAGGACCTACTTTAATTCCTTCTTGACAGAATCAAGCCGTTCCCTCACACGCTGAATCTCCAGCTCAAGGTTCGTATTACGCGATTGTATTGATGCCTGTTTTCATATGAGCCTGTGAAAACATGGGTATCAAGTCCTTAAAAAAAGGGGGTAACAAACGATTTTCATAGCTCTCAATTCATCCATCAATACCTCATCTTTATCCTTGACCGGTGATTTCTCCTCGTCCTCTCGATTCTTCACAGGACTCGCATTCTCAACCCTCTGCTTCTTCAAAGGGGGGGAGGAGAGTATATCCGCCTTCGACGGCGACGGAACCTCCTCAACTTCGAGAGAACTGCGTTTCTTGCTCCCTGCAGCTTTGGGAGGAGGAGGCGCGAGAGGAGGGATGTCAACCACTGTACTTGGCTGTTGTATACTATTGCTACTGGAAGATGAAGATGAAGGGCTATCATTAAACTGCGATTCGGAACTCGCTGGTATAACGACTACTTTGCACGTTGTTTGATTTTCCCTCTGTCCTTGGTTGGGACGTGCTTTTACGGACTCCAAATCTTGAACTTGGAGTTTGGTGGTTCCTGGTTCGAAGATCTTGTTTGTTGGTAGGAAAGTTTTCTTTTCCTCGGCTTCTAAAGATATGGGTGGCAGAGTAGCATTTTCGGACTTTACCTCCCGTTCGTCATTTTTGGTATCCATACTTTCTAGTGGTATAAGGCTGGCAGGTTGTATCGATTCCTCATCAGAATGGGCATGACTCTCTGTTGGCAGCTGAACACCTGTGGCTTCATCTGGGAGGATAGGTACCGGAGAAATCACGTCGATGATCTTGCCAGTTGACTCTTTATTCTCGAACACATCGTTAGCCCTTTTCGAATCTGGTAAAAGAAGTTTGTTGGTTGTTTTGGGAAGTGGTGGTGTTGTAGAACTTTCTGCATTTAGTTCCACGGCAGGTACATCGGCAAAAGACGGGACATCTACAACGGCTACTGCACTCGAGTTGATAGCTTGGTCATTGTGGCCATCATTCTCAAGCTCGTGAAGAATTGTTGCAACATCGACAGATTCTTCCATAACCTTATCAGCATCATTCATCTCAACCTTCCCAGCAACACCATCCCCAGCTCCCCTAGCTGCGAGATTCTGATCTTCAACGATGGAATCTTCATCTTCATACTCGAGACTAATGTCACTGTCTGGTATCTCTGTTCTTCTTGTTGTATGTGATACATTATCTGCCAAGCGGGATCTTGTATCATCGAGAATGTTCTCGCTCTGCGATATTCTAGTTGGCAGGGTAGGTTCATTCTCATGCATTCCGACACCTTGAACCAACACAGGCAAATCGTCGCTTCTCTCAGCTTCTGCTTCTCCATTTACAAGATTTTCTTCTTGCGAGAGGCCTATAGATTTGTCGCCCCAAGTATTTGTAGTACCTTCCAGGTTATCAATTTCCTCAATTAGTTCAACCCCACCATCCATTCCTAGGCCTTCGAGGACAGCGATTTCATTTGGCTGGAGAGTGGCATCAGGAAGAGTGATACTAGCCTTCAGCATCTGATGTTCTGCCATACTCGCTTCAACTTTCATATCTTCCAATCTGGCTGGCGGGTTTTGCAAACCCACGTTTTCCCGTGATAAAGGTGTAGCAGCCGGAGGCGTACTCTGAGTTTCATGTACTTGCAGCTCTATTTTTCCGCCCGTATCGCCTTCGTCTTCACCTGCTGTAGCCTCTTTATCCGTGGAAGAAAGAGGTCCTTGAGGCGGAAGCATTGTACCTGGCACACTGATTTCACCACTTGAAGGCTCCATGTCAGTGGTCCCAGAGCTCAATTTTCTTGATTCAATTTCTGGTTGTTTGGAGATGGCGTCGTTGTTTTGTGGGTCGGTATCAGCGGAACTATGGTTCTCACTGCTTGCTTTCTCCGCCTCGGTATTCGCGGCCTCTGTATTCGTGATATGCATATAATTTTCCGTCTCATTGGATGATTCTTTGGAAGGAATATCCTCATCAGATAAAGACATGGTAATGGGTAGTTGCAGAGTGATAGAGGGATCGATCGCGAAGTTATCATCTCTTGGGCTTTCGGGTGTAGCCACTACATTTCCCTGGTTGTGTAGTTCTTCTTTCATAGCTACGTTCTCGGCTATTGGTGTATACAAATGCTCTACGTTGGAAGCAGGTGCTTCATCCACTTGGGTTGATTCAAATTCTGCTTCCGAAGTAGAGACTCCCAAATCATTGTCGTGCTGCTGATCTGGAGAGAGGATAAATGTGTCACAAACAATCACTGATAGCCCATCCTTCGAGGAATCAGCAGTTTGCACACCTTCCAGAGTTTGTGGTACTACTTCCGGACCTTGTCCGCTCAAGTCCGAGAAGGTTGAAATGATTGTTTCTTGGGTGGCTCTTAGAGTCTCTGAAGCATCCTCTCTTGAATCGGTAGTGTTTGTAGCTTCTAAATTCTGCGGCGTCATCTCTAATTCTTGATCACCCAAGTCTGAAAAGGTTGATATGACTGGTTCTCGACTTTCCAATAAGATCTGCGACGTCTCCTTTGGTGCTTGGTCACTCATGTCCGCAAAAGCCGATCCAACCGATCTTTGACTCTCGCCCATATTCTCGTTTGCGGTTTCCTTTAAGTGCACAGTAAGGAGCGTGCTCTCAACAACATCCTCGTCTTGATCGTTCTTAACAACATTTCTCTCATCCACAGAAGCAGCAAACAACTTCACAAAGGGCGTGTCAAGAACCTTCTCGTCGCCCTCGTTCCCATCTCCAGCCGGGGTCCCAGGTTGAACTTGCTCCTCCTCGATTTCAAACCCGTCGCTATCAGGAATTTCGATCCGCCCAGAATTTCCTTCCCAGCCTCTCCTGTTGCCAGATCCAGGTTGCAGACTAGGTGATAGCTCTCCATCTCCCTCCTGTCTTTGGTCCTGGTCTTGATACTGACTCTCGCCCTCACCACTAGTTTCCCGACCGTCCTCAGGTTGGGTAGGAAACTGAGTTCCAGGCTGAGTCCCTTGAGTAGGCTGCGTAAACTGTTTAATCGGATGCATACTCAACCCAGGCAATGTAGAAAAAGGCGGCGGAGAACTCGAATCAAACCCCTCCATCAGCCCCTTTCTTTCACCCCATCCCCCCTCTTCCCCTCTGGCTTTTTCCTCTTCACCACCATCGCCCGTCACGCCCTTGGCAAATAGTTCTCTATACACCCCCGGCGTATACTCAACTGTAGTTCCACTGAAGTAACTGAATTGCTTCGGTGTCGTTGCTTCAATCTCTCTATCCCCAACTCCAACACCTTCCTCGATCTTTTCGCCAGACTCAACGCCAGAACCCACTTCAATATGAGGAGCCGGACTTTTCATCGATCCGGAACTTTTGACTCTCTCGGGAAAGAAACCTAACTCTAAGCTTCCACCCAAGAACGGCTCCCAAGCCTGCGTCTCATGCAAACTTCCACCACTCCCAACTTGATCCGCCCCCTCCAATGACGCGTTTGGGGGCTGCATCTTGGCGTCGGACATAAACTTTGGACCACAAATGAAGTAGTTGACTCGCTACGAGCTTAAATATGTTGACGAGTTGTTTTATGGCGAGTTTGCCTACTCGATCATCATATCCGTTTGGGTGATAATGTTGACGTGAACATGCCGATGGCGGGGAGCTCCCAGATGGGGTGAGAGATGGAACGCGAGGTTGATGCGGATACACGTGACCTGTTTTGCTCAGGTTCCCGGACCCCCAAAATCGTAGGAGTAAATAGCACTAATTCCACTCAGGGGTAGGATTTCAGTTACGATTACGTAAAATGGTTCAGTTTCATTGAGTACAAGTTAGGGCTCAGCTACGACTAATGACTTAAGGGGCAAATCCGTGGCTTTCAGACTTGCAAATTATATCTTAACCTAACTTGATGAATTGAAACTTGAAAGGACCATACTTGTGTTACTATACACTAACAAGTTCAAACATCTTATTAAGTGTAATTATAACCTAGCTTCATGAGTCGAAAAAATTAGGGCTTGTGTTATTGTGGATTCCTTGGTTCAAATATTTACTAGATTCAACTAGTCGAGTTCTTGTTCCATTTGACACATTCTTCGAATGTCACCCCCGAACCACCAAAACAATCGAGGGCACTACCAATTGTAAGGTCGATACGGCCATTACTCAATTTCTTGACACGGTCCAAGTCTTCAAGATTGCGTCCACCACCGGCATAAGTTACAGGTATACTGCACCATTCAGCGATTTTTTCCACAAGCTGTTCGTCAATTCCCTTTTGTAGGCCTTCGTTATCCGCAGCGTGGATAAGAAATTCGGAGCAATATGGCTCCAGTGATTTGATTGATGCTATTATGTGTCAGTCTTTCGCTTACACGTTTCCAAGAAAAACACTGACCCTCATTGATCTCCATATCGGTAATTGTCTGCCATTTGTCCATGGCGACGAACCAGCTACCATCTTTCCTCCGGCAGCTCAGATCAATAACTAGCTTATCTTTATCACCACCCAAAGCGGACAGGACAGAATCGAGATGCTCTTGGGAGAATTTCCCGGATGGAAACAGGAACGAAGTAATTATCACCTACTACTGTCGTTAGTATACTATATTGGCAGAATAGAAACTGCTCAAACATACCCTTTCAGCACCCCATTCGATCCATTGTTTTGCATTCTTGTCCGTTATTCCTCCTCCAACTTGCAAGGCATTTGGCCACTCGGCCAATGCTTCCCTAGCAGCTTCTTCATTGCCAGGACCTAGCATTATAACGTGTGCCCCTTCCAAGCCATTGTCTTTGTATAATCTCGCAAAGTGACCAGCGGGAAGTTTGGAGACAAAATTAGTTTTAAGGTCTGCAGAGGCAGTTGTCAAAGTTCCACCGACAATCTGCTTGACTTGACCAGAATGGAGGTCTATGCAAGGTCGAAACTTCGTCATGGTGTGTGATGGAGTAAGCACTATCGCATGGTGGGGTGAAGTTATGCCTACCTAGTTTGGCGCCGGGCCAATCTCGGGGCCTTTCACCCATGCTGGGAATATTTTTGGTTGGAAGCCATCAAGAAGCTCTTGCAACCAACCATTCAATTGTCTCCAAGATGTCTACAAATCTAGGGAAGAGAAAGCGAAAGGTCGGCGCAGTTACCGCCTCGAAATCCAAAAGGCGAGAAGAGCGATCGGGTAGCGAAGAATCAGAAGGCGCGAAGCTAGATGCGCAAGAAATATTTCGCCGGCATTTTGAAGCGCAATTCAAACCATTACCGATCGTGCAAAAAGCAACAGAGGAGGCAGAAGATCTCTCAGAAGAAGACGATGACGAAGAAGAAGAATGGGGCGGAATATCGGAGCCAGAAGAGGGAGGGGTAGAAGTGGTTGAGCATACAGATGCGCAGACTCGAATGGCGGCGATGTCAAAAGAGGAATTGAAAGCATTTATGGTATGGCAGACTTCAGCCATGATATCTCAATCTACTAACAATTTTCACAGAGTTCCAAAATTCCAAAGAGCACACCTACAGTATCCCTCATTCGCGATAAATCTGGCACAAAGATAGACGACGAAGATGCTTCCGAAGAAGCAAGCCTGAAAAAAGATCTTGCGCTTCAACGTCTCCTCGCCGAGTCCCACCTCCTCGATTCCGGTAGTAACACGACATCTAGTGGGACAAATCGACATAAAGCGACGGATCTACGGTTACAGGCCCTAGGATCTAAGGGTTCAATATTCAAACAAGAAAAAATGCCAATCGCACACAGAAAAGGAATTGTCTCCAAGCAAAACGAGAAGGAAGACGCGAGAAGAAGAGAAGCCCGTGAGAACGGTATCATTCTAGAAAAGGCGAAAATGAAGGCCAGGTCTGGTAACGAAGGAAAGAGGGACAGAGGGGTCGGTGCTCCCGCGGTGGGTAAATTCTCCGGAGGAACATTGAAGCTGAGCAAAAAAGACATATTCGATATTGAAGGTCCGAAGAGGAGTTCCAGTAGCAGAGGCGGAAGAGGCGGTGGGAGAGGACGAGGAAAAGGAAAACGAGGACGATAGTCACTATGATACCCGAGTATCGAACAAACATATACTTTGTCGACATAATGATACTTTTACGATTGCTCATTTCCGCTGTGGAAGCCAAAGTTGTCCAAACGCGTTGCAACACTACGGAATTCTTGAAATTCGTCATCAAATACAGATAGGAGAAGCATCAGATGAGCTGGGGATGAAGGTTCCGAGGTGATGTGATAGTCATACCGACGGGTGTTTGAGTGCTCGCATTACACTATTTATCCACAGCTTCCACAAAACAAGCCAACCAGTTCTACCGATTGGCAGAAACCATATATGGTAGTCACCAACAAGGAGAATGGCCCGGTTGAAGTTGATAGTTTTGGTTGGTAATCATGGAATTTATCATAGATTTACGTTATAGATAAGAAAATATGGACAAGCATACCGAGCAATCGGAGGTCCCGCTGTCCAAAGTCAATCATATTCCCCTTTTCGGTAATCAGAGAATCTGCCTTGTGGATTTGAAAGCATACTCCTATTTTCAGTCCCTCGCCCATTGTATATGCCTAATTCGTCTTCTCAGTAAAAATCCAATGACCGGCTCAGTTCTTTCTCGGTAGTAGTACAGTAACACCATTATGTAAAGTCACGATTCCCAATGCTTCCAAACCCTACCTAGGTAATTTCCAAAATACAACGTCACATGCCATATCCGCAATATTGAATACGAAATCTCAAGCTTTCCTATTGATCTGTTTTCATTCGCTCTTTGAAAAACAAGCACTCGGGTATTGACACCTCTTTTCTCCACATTACCCTCTTGGTGCGGTGTGAAAGCAGACAATATTTCCACTTCGTTTCCACTTTCCTCGACTTGCTGACGCACGATGTTGCAATGGTATTGAAGCTACGGGAAGTGTGGTTTGTGTTGGGATTTGTGGTGAATGGATGTTTCTTGCCAAGATACTGTACTCTGGTTGAGGTACAAGGACTTTTAATACCCACGAAAACTAATTGCAAAGAACGATATACCGATTTCAAATTTGAAGTCTTGCTGTACCTGATCCAATGACACCTTTGCAGCATTCTAGATTTATTCTCGGTACCCAGTTTGTGCTGCTGCTTAGCCGAATGATTACTCCTAGCGTCCTACACACAACTACAGTCATGTTTGTAGTAGACTATGTAGAATAACGAATTTCTAAAGCCATGGTTTTCAAAGCTATGTCTTGTTGTAAATTACTGGTAGGACTGTCATGGGATGAATGAAGCCTTTTTTCGATATATCAAACTCGTGGAGGATGGCATTCTCCTTTGAACGTAACAGCTCTAAGTATGAGAATCGTACGAGAGTCTAAATACGGGAGTCCGAATTCAGGGAAAAGGCTATCTATCCACCAAATAATAATTCCCCAACTCCCATTAACGGAGCCAATTTGGTTACAAACTTGAGGAATTGTAGATAGCTCTGCCTCCACCTAATCGAGAGTAAGACTTACAATTATCCTAGACACATCAAATTAGTCGTGAGAACATTTGGAATGCTTAGATCTCTTTAAGCTCTTTACAAGTCAAACTTGCTGGTTTAATGCAACTAATATCTATGAATTCTACCATGGTATATCTCGATTCTCGCATAGGTGCACATGGAGCGATAACTATTCCTTAAACTAACCATGAGATCTCGATCAAGTACTTGACGAATTACCACTCAATATATATTGCATCAAATTCTCAGTATGCGAATCATAATACGAGCGTTAACCGATCATTGAAAACAATTGACATTCAACAACACGGAGAGATTTGACTTGAGGAATCTGTGGGTTTACAGATTTTATAACTCAATATACAAAATAAACATTTTTGCCGCTGTGCAGCCTGTGCTGCTGCCCCTCTCAAACCCGTAACTCACATTCCAAGTGATACAAGATCACTGTATATGCAAAGTAAAAATTTCTTTCTCAAGAAAGGCAAAAGAAAGTATAAGCACACAATCACCGCCTAGTCAACAAAGTCTAACGCTTTCGATATGTCGAGCAGAGTGAAATGAACCTTCAAATCCCCAAACCTAACACCTTATTTTTGACTCTACGAATCTACCGTTACACAGACCTATTAAGCTGGCTTAAGCTACTATCAACAGATTTTTGCATGTTCAACCAGCACCCCACCCAGTCTCCTCCTCCTCAATCCTCCAGCGGGGAGCCGTCCATTTGTCAAAGCCATCGCCACCAATGCCTTGCCTACCAACAAAACCCACAGCATTCTCAAGTCTCTCCTGCAGCCTCCTGATTCTCTCCTTGCACTCCCTCTCCCTCAACCACTCAACTGGCAAAAACAGCCCGGGAAACGATGGTCTCCTCCCCCCACGATCCATCTTGACTCCCTCACCGCTCCCCAAGTAAAAAGTAACCTCTTCCAAGCCCGCAAACTTCCTCTTTATCGACTCCCAGAATTGCAGCATTCTCCAATCCTCGTCTAGCACCCCACATCCCTGTGTCCGAGCCGCAGACGACGATAAATCCTGCATATACGAACCGAAGAACCCATCTTCAACCGCAAGATGCCGAACTTTACTGAGAGAGTGAGGGTCGACAAGCGTCACAACCTGAATAAACCGTTTACACTCCTCCAACCCCTCTGTTGAACCTCCCGGCTCCCTCTCATCTGCACCGTTCCTCACAACTTTTGACCCATCCCCAGAAGAAAACCAGAGAATATCAACGCCAGCTCTGAACCAAACCTTTGGCTCTGTAAACAAAGCCCCAAAACTTAATTCAAAGCCCATTTTCTTCGCCACGTCTCGGGCTTCTCGACAGATATGGAGGGTAACGGGAATTGGGGTGGTGGAAGTGAAGCCCGTCTTTTGTCACCAGTAGTAGCGTTCGCTTAGCGGTTTGTAGGAAAGTTCAAACTTTCGTGCGGGCGGAAGTGTGAGGATCCATATTTTTCTCCTTAATTCGGGTGGTAGATTGATGAAACGATGGAATTCTAGAGTAGATTGGGTATGAGCTGATTCCGGATTGGGTGGTATCGTTTTGGGATTTGGTTCTAATGTCGTTGTAGACGGAGGACGGGGGAAAGATGAGTGTGTTGAGTGTGAGGTACGAAATACAGGTGTACAATGTGTCCCAGGCTGTGTCACAGACTCGAAGATCGAGTCGGTAGGCGAGGAAAGAGACGATGACGACGATGGAGATACCTTTGAAACCCCGATATAAATCTTCATGTTCACCCCGATCTTCCAGGACTGAACGTGCACAAAATATAAGGTCAAAGCAGTGAAATTGTAACCAAAAGAAAAAGCAACGATTGAACGACATCTAAACATTTGTGCGACCCAACACCATCATATACTAAAAACACAAAAAACAAGGTCACTAACATTCAACCTCTTCATCCACATCATAGGTATCACTTCCCCATCCCGGAGAGACCTCCGCGACTAAGCGACATAGCGATCCCTCACTCGATATCGCTCTCCACCAATAACACCTTGAAGATCTGGGACAATCAAGACAAAGCAAGGCCATCGAAGCACCGAACAAGCACAACGTGATGGCAAGAAGGCCCTTTTCTTGGAATGTTCAAAAAGAGGGCAGCCGAAAAAATAGTCGGCGAACTCGTCTCCTTTACCTATGCCGAACCGAGTCCTCGGGAAAATCGACACGGTGGACTGGAGAGCCAGACTTTTCGGTCGCCGAAGCCGATGCCGATTTGTAGATCTTGGGCTTGAAGAATTCTTGAAACCTTTCTGGAAGATGGGAGGGAGTACTGTTATTGGGTGGAAAACGAGGGGTTTACAATTACATTCTCCGGCTGGAATTCCGGACTCGCTCAAGCGACAGGTCTAGTCCGAGAATATCAATATCAATGACGATGGAGAGATGTGCAATAGACTCTGGCTCAGCCAAGAACAAATATACAAGGAAAAGCAAAAATGTAAATAAAAACTAAGTTACCATATGACAGAATAGTACGGTGTCAAGAGACAGGAGCTTTCGAATATGAGCTAAGGTTAGAGATTGTCGTTATCTCCCATTTTGAGCGTCTTCTGCGAAAGTCCCCTCGCGTCCGAAAGACTTTGATGGGAGATCAGATGAGTAGATCAGGGGAAAGAAAAGTAAGTCAACAAAGTGTCAAAGCCTAAAAACGCCTGAGCCCATGAAGGACTTGAATCAAATTGATAGAAGTCGGATGTCCAAAACGCATTTTTGAATTTACCTCAAACTATCAAAGCCGCCCAATGAGTTGAAGTCGGATGTATATTGTGACCCAAGAGACCTAAAACGCAAAAACAAATAACATAACTGATTCCGAACCGCCCGGCCAATCAGTGTAGTGTGGTTAGCTGAAACAGAAGAGTAAAAAACAAATCATCAGCCGATTATGATACTGTAATTCTTGTTTACGGCTTCAGTAACAAATATACTTCAAACCACCGTCTCAACACTCGCAAAGGCCTCTCTCTGTCCATCCTCCCTCTAGCACTCAAACCCCACCCGCCCCCAGAAACCCCACAAGAGTTCAACCCATCCAAAAACAAAAGTAAACCAAAGAGAAAGAAAAAAGGTTCCGAGCCGCCCGCAGTCCATCACAAACCCAATTACAGTACCTCAGTACCTACAGTAGCATCAAACCTACCTCCCCTCCAACCAACCAGTCCCGATTCCGCAACACCGAAAAAAGTCTTCCACAGTAGATATTTCGTCAGTAGCCAATAGAAAAATGCCGACCATGCGTAACCTCTTATTTCCTTGCCCGATCACCTGCAATTGACTTTCGCGTTCCTGAACATCGAACTTTCGGTACAGTACCGGTCCTACTGCATTGTGTTTGAGGGGGAGAAGTGATTGGTAACCTTACTGTGTGCTGTACATGAATTTCGAAAACCTACTCCGTAGATTCGCTTTGATACACTCCAGTACAGTATCCGATTTTCCCCCTTCTCGTCGGTTAGAAGAGCGGTTGACTTGGTCAGTGGGTAAGCTGTACAAGTACTGTAAGGTACCAAAGTATCCATAACCTTCCATAGAAATCTAGAAGAAAGCAATCCATTCATCCCATTTCAAAACTTGGGATCTTACCCTCCCCTCCCTCACCCACATCCATCGATTTAGGTCTGTTCGTCCTCAACTCCGTCCAGCCGGGCAGCGGCAGTGCAAAGAAAGTTGGGATGAACATCTGCCCAGTGTCAGCATGGCCCAAGCCCACCCCGTCCACAAATCGGGTTCCTGTTCCTGCTCCGCGGGACCTGCATGCCGGTGCCTTGGAAGGAAGCCAAGCCTGAACCCAATTACAGGAGATATTTACGTGGGGTAGGGTTTCCATGCTGGATGTGGATATGTGTTGGTGTAAAGGGTCTGGACAGCTCGGGTCTCCCCCCCCTTGTCATTTTCTGATATACCTCCACATGAATCGGACAATTCAATTGGCTTAGAATTACTTCGTGGCTTGGGATCCCCTTGTATACGTTGTACACGAGTGCATCTATTTACCGCTATATTTTGCACGAAGTAGTAAAGATCTCTTTTCATACGAGTAAGCTAATCAAAACATTTGCTCTTTGGAAATTACGATACCTATGCTACGTATATGAACATAAAATATTAAATTTCAAAGCTACTTCGAAGTAGGGGAACAGCGCCCAAGTAGCCGAAAAGAGACGTACTAACTAACTCTTCCCAAGAATGAAAAGGAGAGAGACCCTTTCCTCCAATTCCGACGATATAACTTCTACTTACCAAATCCGAATTCACATTTCCGGGTTCGCGGAGGTACATCATCGGAATAATAGATGTGAATTACGTTGTTGAAGTGCTTATTCTTGTTCTTGTTCTTGTTCTTGTTCTTGTTCTTGTTCTTGTTCTGGTTCTTGTTCTGGTTCTTGTTCTTGTTCTTGTTCTTGTTCTTGTTCTTGTTCTTGTTCTTGTTCTTGTAATATTTGTGTCCGTGTTGCCTATATCCTGTGTCCTAGGAGTATATCTACCTACGTAACTTGACGAACTAAGATCTTTTTTCGGGATGTAAGTCACTTTCGGGACATACTTCGTAGAGGTACTTTCGGGACCTGGAGGAAAAGGGGAAAAGGGGAAAAGTTCCGGTGTGAAATCACTCGGAACTTGGAAGGAAGGAGATGTTCTGATATAGGGTATTATGGGGATTTGTGGGGATTATTGGTGGGGATTTAATGTGGGTCGGTGGGTTATTATTGCTTTCTTTTTTTTCGGGTTTGAAAGAAGCGTGTGGAAGGGGGAGTGGAAGTGGGTGTGGAGCGATGATGTGATGGTGGGACGGGGGGATTTGAGGTTTGTTACTTGGTGGGTTGTGAGATTTTGAGATGTTGGGATTTTTGGTGGGAGGATGGGAGGATGGGAGAGAGGTCTAGAGTTTCGAGATACCTAGGTAAATTATAGTATATGCTTTGTAGTATATGCATGTAAGGTCTCTTATACTCTGGGGTAACTATAGTACGAAGTAGGTTGGTCTGTCGGAAAGCTAGTTAATGATTGTATTCGTAATATCCGGAGTATAGCAGATAAAGAAATGTTAATTCGGATTTGGTAAGTGTAGATATAAGCAAGTAAACAAACAAGCGATGTTCGTATGAAGTAATATGTACATATTCTAAAGTACAAGGAAGAATTACGTTACGATTTCAATGTTAATTCTAGACTTATTTACAAGATAGATTAGGGGTAGGATTAAAGTTATATACTTCTTAGGAATAGCTCGGATAGAGATTTTTCCGTTTACATGTATCTAAAAAACACGATAATATCATAAAATAATAAGATCCAAGAACATAAATAGGACAGCACACAGGTAACGTGCCTGTCCATCCCAATGTGGAAGAATTATAGGTCGTTATATAGACCAGGCTAGGCTATCTAACTTTACCTCCTCCGTACCTACCTACCTACCTATCTCAACCCGTAAAGTTCATCCTAGGTACAGTAAAGTTGAACCCAAAAAATCCGGCCTGTCACACCGTCGTTCTCCCATGCCGAAAAAGGAACTCTCTTCGCTGATACTTCGTAAATTGACATGGCGTCATGACTGTACAGCTCCGTACCAACCTTTAACCTACTTCTACGTAACCCACCTAGTGTAGTATCCGGGTCGCGTGGCATCTATCCATCCCTCATCTCAAACGCCAGCATCTCAAAACATAAACATGGACCCTCGCAATTCTCCAACGGACGGAGAAAATCCAAAATCCAGATTATCCAGAAAAGCTCTTCCAGGAAAAAAGTCGGAAAGAAACCAATCGTAAACAAAAAAAGAAGTATCCCTGTACTCGAGCATAGGAAAAAGGTTCCAAACCAAGGCTCGGCTCAAATCATCCCCGCAGAAAACATGGCAACCGCTCATGATCAGATCTCCTTGGGGTCCCGACCCCCCCAAAAAAGAAATTGTACCTGCATCCAGGTTCTCCCTGTCAACCTCACAGGGCCAGAAGGCAGCACCAGGATCCAAAGATTGGGGAGATTTTGACAAGTAGCTGGACCATGGCCCAGGACTGGTAGTGGAGAAAGAACTTCGCTGCCAGCCAACCATTGCCAGAATCCACGCTGGAAAAACACTGGACACCGCACCGCGCACACAGCCAGGTGGCCCAGTCCTCCGTACTCCGTACATTCGGGATCAATGCGATGCGAATCATGCGATGCGATGGGTTCGCCCAGGCACAGGCACAGGCTCATCCAGCAAGGGAGCTTGAAGACAGAGGCAAACTCTAACAGCCCACACGGCAACAACCCCATTAAAGCCCTGAAAGCTGCCCCATCAAAACAAAGCCACGGACTGTTTACTTTTCAGGAAGGTGGCTGCCCATCATAAGACTCACTCGTTTTCCGGATCCGTAGGAATTTGAAGGTTTTTTCTTCCTCTCGCTCTTTTTCTCTTCCTCCAAACTGTCCGCTCTTCACTGAGTTCGTCAGCAACACTACAGGCGATCCGCCGCCCACCGCCAGCCTGGACACCAAAAATTACCACAACGCCACGGAATCTAGCCACCGTCCAGTCAATTGCATACTTTCCTTGGGGGAATACATGCGAATTCAGATTCCAGAAAAAAACCAGCATCTTGACCTAAATAATTCCCGGACCAGCATTCCAGAAAAAGCACTTACCGTAGCTCGCGTAGCATCAACGCCGCCAACTTGATCGGATTGGACCGTCTGATCTGCCTCACTGCGTTAGACTGCGTCGTCCAATCTACCAATCTTACGTCGTACAGAATATACCCTCCTTCCAAGGAAGTATCAGACCCCGCGTCGACTACCAACTGTAAGCGACCAAAGGCGTACAGGGCAACGAGAGCCAGTCAGAAAAAAGAATTTCTCCAGTCGCGACATCGACGCGTGAAAGCTGTACGCAAAGAAAACAAAGACTTATACAAACATCGCCCACCCCATCTGATCCCATCTTAATTGCTCGTTCTTTGGCAATATTCCGTCGTTCATTTTTCTCACAACTGGAGGTCTCGTCGATCGCCTCGCTTGCCGTTTGTTTGTAGGCGAAGAAATTCCGGGGTATTCATTGCTAGTTTTTTTTGGCCGGGGTTTAATATAAACACACCAGCCCACTTCACTACCAAGAGACCCCACTGGACCAGGAATCTTACCATTCCTAGGACCTCGAAATCTCTCATTCGTTGTTCTAATTCCGGAGACAGAGATTCATTCGACAATTGTGAAGGCATTTTCCAGCCGTCATACCATACGATACCTTGCCAGCCACGCGTGTTCTACTAAACGTTGCTGCACTGGGCCGGTCGAATCCATGCCAAACGGAATCAAGCGACGACCGCGTCTCATCATTACACCAAAATCTGCACCCGCTAAATTGCTTTCCCGGAATCATCTTGCACACAAAACTTTCCTTTCCGGAAAAGAAAAGAGGAGAGGAACTGTGCGACTGACACGAGATACAAGATTTCAAGAATTTGCCATTGAGACCATCGGTGAAACCGGGATACTCAGACGAGCCTCGGGTCGTCACCAACATACGATCCTTCAAAGAGCAGCTATCAAACCTGCCAAAATTCACTCAGCGTTGAAGCGGAGACACTGTTTGTTGGCGTCATTCCTTTGAAACCAGTTCAACGTCATCTCCCAAGAGAGGGCATCTCCACAACCAGCTTGTCCTACACGACTTTCACTTTTCTGCTGGCGAAACCAATTCTTCATCCGGGACAAAATGGAAGCATCTGAGGCACTGTCGCTGGTGCTGGGTGCGCTGTCGGTATCTAGCGGTGTTGCGATGCTGACGTTCGATATAATTTTCGCCGTTACACTTCCGCAATCAGCGACTCTCACTCAACCACGAATTGAGTCTATCGTATCATCATCACTTGTTGGTGTCGATGTGGCTTTTCTTTTGGTAATTATCGGGAGACAACTTCGATATCGAAATGGCGCGCATTACCAGAACGGACGAGGCCGCAGGACTACTTACCTCTTGGTTGGGATTGGTGGGGCGCTAGGAATTCTGTCTGCCGTATCGTCGTCGATGCTACTGGGTATGACGAACAACCGGCTTCGAGATATTCCTCAAGATTCTCTCATTATCTCGGCCAAATTGGTGACTGCAGGCTTCGCTGTATGGGCAGTTTACTTGCTCTCGCAAGCACTCTTCCTGATAAGCATGTTGATCCTCGTTCAAAGGAAAAAGGACGTCTTAGCAGAGAGCCAACCATATCATTCCGAACCACAACAAGAAAAGTTTCCGCAGATGGTTGAGTCGACTAAGATGCCAGCGCATACCACGGAGCAAGATATCGACCATGACCAGCGAGAAAAGTCTTCGATGGAATCCAGAAGTGCTGCATCTTCCGGTGGTAGATCCCGCGCTGGATCGGATGCCATGTACTCAATCAGGTCTTCCTTCTCGCAAGCCGTGCGCCCTATAACATCCAAAACACGACTTATCCAAGGAGGACAGAAGTCTCCACACCGAGCAATGTCCATCAATTCAACACATAGTAACATGACCGATGGATTCGACTCTTGGGACACATCGGCAGTCGATGCGCAAGCACGGCATGCCGTCGAAGCGGTTTCTCCAACGCAAAGATTCCTGGAAACTATCCCAGCGAGTCCAACTACTTCACGCAGTCCTAGCCCTGGATTCCCTCTTGATCTTGCGCCCCCGATGAAGAGATCGCGAAGTCGCAGTCGCAGTCCTGCAAACCGGCAGGGCGGAAGAGAGCGCATCCGACGCCCTCGAAATACCAGTCCAACCGACAGCTTAAGTATAAATGAGGCTCATATCCATCCACTTTTCCGAACGGACTCGCCCACCCCAGCCCCCGCAGCTACACCTGGCACCATTGTCACGGCGGCTCCTAATGCCGGAACATTAATCTCAGACCGGCAAAGTATTCGATCGATCCATCGAATGCGCAGCGGAAGTCTTCCTTCGTGTCCGGGCGGGCTGGCGCACAGCGAGAGCCTGGATAGCATTCGGAAGAAGATGGAGAGGGAAGAAATCGAACGCTTGCAAGCTGGTGGAGAGCGTACCATCACCCCACCGGTGCCTGATTTCATCCTGAATGCAGGGCCACGAAAAATTCTTTCTGGATATAACCTTAGGAAGAAGTCGCAGCCTGTCGCGTTGCAAAAAGTAGGAGAGTAATGGAATGGAATGGGAGATGAGAGACTGGACCCTGGATGGGTCCTGACTGCAATGGCTTGACGCCCGGAACGAATTTCTTTTCCTATCATGTATGAATATGTAATAGATACCATTGATGTTAGCGTGCTGGCAGCGTTCACACGCACCAGATATCCCTTAGTGGATAAAATCAAATCTACCAAAATATAATATATTGCCACGACGAGAATGATCCGAGTGATGTGGTGATGTGGTGATCGGCTTTTGGAAAGGAGACACGATGTGCGATTTCTTTTGTATACTGACATGGAGAGAGAGAGAGAGAGAGAAAGAGAGAGAGAGAGAGAGGAGAAGGAAATCATAGTAAGGGAGGCTTTGGTGCATTAAAAGATACTGTGTCCCATTGATGGGTTGGTGATGTCAGTTGCAGACCACGCAAGCAAGCTCTAGGGAGGAGAAGGAGCGATCACACAAGACAAGGCTGACAGTCACCCATCACCCCGCACTTAGGTTGACTGACTCCCCAAACCATGCCTGAATTCCGATCTGACCCTCTGCATCACTTTCCTGGTGTGGAGATGGATGCCAATGAATGCGTGCACTTCCTTCCGTAGATAATAAGATTCATGAGTGAATAGAATGGAATCAAACATGTACCGACCAAAGGGTATGTGTAGCCTTCATGATCCCATGGTGGTGACTGTTCAATGGTTGGAGCTACTAGAGTACGTCTACTAGTACGCTTGCAGATTGCAGGGGGGGAAAGACACGCAGCCTGGTCGTAGCCTGCATTTAGTAGAAGTCATCCCGGCGGACCTGGAGAAATCCCAATCTGATTCATAACAAACCACCTTTTCCTCCATCTACTCCTCCCACTCCCAAATTCCCACCGCCATCGTTACGATCTGTACATACACACCGACCATCGCTCTTCTTCCCACTATCCGACCATCACACCATCCGACCATCCATCATCATGAAGCTGACCTTCAAGGTATGTTGAATCTTGCCTCCCAAGACAAGCTTGGGCTCACTTTGCCCCCCCACCTGTCTTCAACTCTTGCTGACCTCTATTGTTTTGCCTAGGATCTCAAACAACACAAGTTTGAGATTGAAGCTGATCCATCGGAGCTTGTAAGTCCGACATCTCTTCGCCCTCTTCCCACCCTCCCTCGCAGCTTTGGATGATCGCCAAAAGATACCAGAAAGCCATGACCACGAAGCTCTGCTAATACTGCCCACCATAGATCGGGGATGTGAAGGCAAAGATCGCAAAGGAGAAGGGATGGGAAGCCTCTACGCTGAAGTTGATCTACTCTGGTACGTTGGCCACATCGCTGTCGATTCTTGTGGGCGCAAAGTGATGTTGATGGAAATCCAGGCAAGATTCTCCAAGATACCAACACAGTCGAGTCCTACAAGATTGAAGAGAAGGGATTTACTGTCTGCATGATTACAAAGGTACATGTCAATCTAATTGCAAGGTGTTCAAGAAATCTAACTTGATCATAGCCCAAGCCAGTACCTGTAGCTGCTGCCTCTCCAGCCAAAGCCCCCTCCACACCCGCTCCCGCCGTAGCCTCGACCCCCGCTCCTCCGGCTGCTCCAATCGCCCAACCCAATCTATCCGGAGGCAATGCTATTCCTGCGACACCTTCACCTGCCGGATCTGGCGCAAATGCTGCAAGTCAAGCTACCCCTTCGGCCGCATCGAGTGGAGGTCTAGCAATGGGTGCTGAGAGAGCCGCTCAGATTGCAGAGATGGAGAGCATGGGTTTTGAGAGATCACAGATTGATTTGGCCATGCGCGCTGCATTCTACAACTCCGAGCGTGCTATTGAATATCTTTTGACGGTAAATTTGCATTCTTGCGTTCTAGAATTCGTTTGCTGACAAAATTTACAGGGAATCCCCGAAAGCGCTCAACCAGAACAACGACCTGCCGCCCCCGCGCCAGGCGCACAATCCCCGCCAGCTGCTGCTGCCGCTGCCGTAGCTCAAGGGGACGACGAACCAATTAATCTCTTCGAGGCTGCGCAAGCTGCCGGACGTGGTGGTGCCGGTGCCGGTGCAGGCGCAGGCCTATTTGGTGGGGACATGGGAGCTGGTGCTGCTGGAGGATTGGGAAATCTCGACTTCTTAAGAAACAATCCCCAGTTCCAGCAATTACGACAAGTTGTTCAGCAGAACCCACAGATGCTTGAGCCAATCCTCCAACAAGTCAGCGCAGGAAACCCCCAACTTGCTCAATTGATCAGTCACCATCAAGAGGAGTTCCTTCAATTGTTGAGCGAAGGCGGCGGTGATAATGATGCGCCTCTCCCTCCTGGAGCTCAAACTATCAGTGTCACTGAAGAAGAGCGCGAAGCAATTGAACGTGTATGTGGTCTTGATATTTGCCCATCTCCAAAAATTCTTACTAACTCTTTATAGTTGACGCATCTCGGCTTTTCCCGGGACCAGGCAATTCAAGCATATTTCGCATGCGACAAGAACGAAGAACTTGCTGCTAACTTCCTTTTTGAGCAGCCGGAGGATGAGGAATGATTTGTCCTTTCCATCCTTCCTTTCTCTTACTATTCTACGATTCCCACGCAGCGATGAAGGATTCCACGAGCGGGCATGTGATTATGCATGCATTATGTGGAAGGTGACTTGACTACATTTCAAGGTGTTTTTCGTGTTTAGCTCCTCAGATTTACACGTTTGCTATGGGAGGTCGATCGGAATATCGGTCATTGCATTAACTTATTTTCCATTTGGGAAACTAGGGTTGCGGACAGAATGGATACGGGCTGTCAAATAAGGCATCTCAGCCTGGATATCTTGTCGCCACGTTTTGTCTCATACACGAAAATGAATATGAAATTTTGCCTCTCTCTTGGTTGATTTTACGTGATTTCTTTGCCGTTTGATGTTTGTGAATTGTAAATCATGTAAGTGTTGTTCCACGATATTCTACAGTAGGTCAGCAATTATTACAAATGCCTTCTTGATCTTACTTTTGCCACTTTCTCCAAGTCGTGACATGTCATACTGTGGAGCCAAGAATGTAAGATACTTTTCTTCTTCGCAGAAAATCATGTCTTATCTGGAACGAGTAAGTGAATTAAGCTCTCACTTCACTCCCCAGACAACTTTAGATACGAGTAATGGAAAGGGCACACAGAAAAAGTTTACTATATTCAAAAGGCCTGCATGTGCGGAGTCCAGAGGATTCACAAATCTTAGCTGAGAGCGACGACATTTATGTGGTCGGTTTTGTTGCTCTCTTGTCATGCTATCTAATTGACTAGATGGAATTGGGCGGAAGGGTGTAGACCCACTCATCCGCTAGCTAGCTAGCTACCCGGAAAGTCGGTAATTAGGTAGGTAGATGATGTTAGTGCAGCCGCTTTCATTTTCTATATACAATTATTGGTGTACTCGCTGGAATAGTGAGTAGGAGGCTCTAATTAATTGATGGATTTTGATTGGTGGGATTCGGGTGTTTGATTGGCTGAAGAAAAAATCTGATATTGTGGATTTAAAGAGGTGGCTGGGGTTGGGACGTACTCGAGAGTTGAGACGGAGACGTTCTGACCACTGCTGGTGGGTGGGTAGAGGAGAATTGCAGATGAAAAGGGGCTTTTTGAACTTGCTGAGTTTATATTTGAGGGATGATTAGAGTTATGGTTAGGGGACTGCTTTCAATTACGAGATATTGATTGAAGTTTACTTGCTTATTTGAGTAGTGATTCACGCATTGGAGTAGTAAAATTGGCATGTCACGTGGAATCGCTGCAGAGAAGGTTCCAAGTTGGTTGGTTCCGCGGGAGAAGCGCAGTCATCATCCAGCAACCTTACCCATTCACAGAACTAATTTCATCGTCCGTCTGTTCTGTCGAATATCTACACACTTTTTTTCGAACTCATACTCCCCAGCAATCGCACGTCTGCACCTCCAACCCGAAGTGTCAGCAAAGTGGTATTTAATATTACTATTCTTGACAATTCCGGACAATCAAGTCGGTGATCTCGGCCCACTTAGCCTCAGCCAATCAAAGTGCCTTGCACTACAGCTGGTCCAAGCGAATACCTCAGAATCTGGCTGCAATCGATTCTTACTATAGTCGAGTTTTCCCATCGTCGACCTCAATCGCAATCGCCAGTGCCTTGGACAATGGTGACAATAGTTGCATGATCCGCTCTAGCTTGCTCTCTGGCCAAGCATTGCTGTCATTCATCCGCGAAATCATCGCGCGCACTTGATCTCGTGTGAGATTTGTTCCCCCCGTATAACACGGGTTTCAAACTCCTACACCAGCATCATCGAGTCCGCAAAAACACCACAATCACTTCTACAATCACGTAGACGGTGCTTCTTCCTTGGGAAAGAACTCTCATCTTCTCGTCACAATTTTTCGCAATCTCATACCTCGCCAAATAACAGTTGTGCGTGTGCTATACCATGGCCCCAGTACGACGCAATCGGCACGAGACAACATCTTCAGCTTCTGGCCCCCAGGACAAAGGCGACCAAAATCAAATTAATTACGGCACTCGATCCAAGCGCAAAGCAACCGAGATGAGTTCTCCCGGTGGTTCTTCATCGGACCAAAAGACTTCCACCAACTCTTCTCAAAGTCTTGATATAGAGGAGGCTGATTTCGCCGGTCCGCCTGCCAAGAAATCAAGAAAAACATCAGAAACACCCCCCAAAACTCCCGAGCCAGACTCCTTTACAGAACTTAATGAATTTGACATTCCAGAAGTTAAAATTGATGGTCCTAGTTCCTCTCCAGAGTCAGATGACCAAAATCCTGACCAAGTTAATGATGCGCCCAGTGGTAGAGGCGGCTTCGGTAGGGGTCGTGGCCGAGGTCGAGGAGGTCGTGGACGAGGACGAGGTGGACATGGTGGCTCGGGTATTGGATCTCGAGGAACTCCCGTCGTGGAATCACCAGTTGCTCCCAAGGCCCTGAGAGGTCGTGGTGGTCACCGAGTGAAGAAATCTGACAACGCCCGAATTCAAGCACTTTATCATCGTCGAGCTGCACTAAAACATCAATACAAGCAAGTGGCCTCATGGCAAAAATCCGCCTTACTTGTTATTGCCGACAAATCTTTGGATAGACTCAAGGCCGACTCTCATTATCATGAATCTCTCCCAGAGTTTGACGAGGTTACTCAAGGATTGAAAGAGGCTTATCAGAAGCGCGTCGATAAATTAAATGCGGAATTCTTCATGCGCAAAGATTATTTGGATCGCCAATTGGTGCAAAACCAAGAGTATGAAGAAATGAGATTTGAGGTAAGTAGCGATGACTTCTCAGTTTGCTAAACCACTAATACATTACCAGGATCATATAAATGAGATTGAAGAAACTACGGATGTCAAAGTCATGCAAAAGGCAATCCACGTTTGCAGGCAATGGTTTTTGCATGAAAGAATTGAAAATAAACCAATTTTCCGCCCTGTCAGTAGCCAATTTTCCCCTCTCACTGTGGTTCATACTAATGAAATTTAGTCTGATGATAAGGTGGTCAAGAGAATTCCTCCACCACCAAGAGAAGTTCATTCAATAGCAACTCCATATAATTTTGTGAGTATACTTCAATAGACCTGAGTTATTTCATTTATTAATGATCGCATAGACTATGGCTGCAGACGAATTCCAATGGGCTCAGAGGCCTGACAGCCCAATCCCTATTGAGCAGCATCCCAAGGACCATTGGCTCTCCATGACAGATGAGCAGCGAACTGCTTGGCAACACAGGACACGAAAAGCTGGTGGCGACAAAGGTAGACGTATTAAAAGCAGCAAAAGCAATGCTTTATATCAACCTCAAGCGGCGGTCACTGATTCACCTGATATGCCCGAAATTCCTGAAGCTCTGGCACTTCCTGATATGTTGTCAGCTATAGCTACGCCAGCCGAAGTCTCAGGAGAGGATACGGAGACTGACAACACCGAATCCCCAGGAGAAGAACAACCCACAGACCAATATGGTGTCAAGGTTCCAAAGAAACCAACACCTCGAAATGGCGAGGCCCCACAAAATCGAATTGTGGGTGATGCCTCAGTTACCTTTGATCAGGATGAGATAGGTATTCGAAAACATCACGTTCGCAAGAACAACCGAAATGAGCAACAATATCTTGGAATGGATCCTGATCCAAATCCAAAAAAGGTGCATTTCGACCAGGTCGCCAGAGGCCATAACGCTGCTCGTAACAAGAAAGAGGACTTGGACGAAGAGAAGGTTCAAACTTTCAAAGTTCATCCTACTTATGGACTTCCCCTTCCGACCTCAGAGAATCCCACTTATGAGGAGCTGGAGAATCCACCGTTTCCTGCTCCAACGGATTGGTCAAAACCTCTTGCACCGACAAGCCCTGTGGTTGTCATTGAAGAGGGACCACACGATTTCAACCTTCTGGATGAAGACAAGAGGGTTTTCTTGACGTCTAGATCCGAATGGATCCTTCGAATTGGGTCTGAATGGGACCAAATTCCAGCCAAGGTAAAAATGAACTCCATGCTGAGTGACAACCATCTTCTCGATCCTCCAAGGCCTTCGACTCCAGAGCAAGTCAGTGAAGTGGAGCCAGAAAAGACGATTGACGAGGAACTTCTTTCCGCTGTCAACGATGCCGAAGATGAAAGACTTGATTCACTGAAAATCAAGGTATCCGACTCTCCTGCTTCGCAACCTGCTCTTCAACAATTTTCTCCTGCTGCGCATATTATTCAACACTTCTCTCCAGTTGCAACGATGGCTGCTCCGGCTCCTGCCCCACAACGCTCTCAAGGCTATGATCCTGTTCGAGATACTGGATACCAAACGCCATATCAACCAGTAGCCCCAAAGCAACAACCTGCTTCTACTATCATCAATCAAGCTGGACCAATCACCGGTCTTGCTACTCTCGCAGATGTTGCAGAGACTCGTGGAGCTATGCCACCTCCAAGAGAGTACCGCATGGCACGAAGTACCTGGGCTGCTCCCGCACCATCGCAAAATCGACCAGCACCTCATAGTACATTTGTACAATACTCTGGACCACCTGGACCTGCTCAATCTCCTTATACATCACCACGTGCACCGCCATTGTCTCAAACTCAAATCTTCCACACGACCACTGCCCCTCAAGGTCCCAATCTCATAAACCGACCCCCTCCTCCATCAATAAGCATAATGAACGGTGTTCAAGTTATCAACGGTATGAATGACATGAATAGTATGAATGGTCCCGGTCCTCAGCGAATCAATGGCATGCCACCACCACCACCTCTCAACACCATGAACGGACCTCCACCTCCTAGACACGATGACATGATGAATGGACACATGGCACAAGCTCCGGCACCAGGCGGCCCCGGATTTCGAGAGCTTCGACCTGCACCTCCACAGAATAGAGCCAACATGCCGCATATAAGAACTTGGCAACATCAGGATGGATCGATTCATCGGGGACCAGCTGGTAGCGCTCCACCTCCACCTTCGCCGCCTAAGGATCCAAGCAAATCGAATTGGCATTAGAAGATTGAATGATTGATTGGATTTTACATTTGGAGTTTCAAGTTTAATAGTTTCTTTTCTTTTCGCGAACTTGTATATTGAAAACTTTGATAAGAAATTGGGTTTGGTTCGTTCTGGAATTGATGGCATGGCATGGCATGGACTGCATGGCGTGCAGCTTTCTTCTTTCTTCATTTCTTTCTCTTTTCACTCTGTCACCTGCTTGCTTGGTTTTGTGGGTGGGAGGGGTTCTTTGTATCTCTTGTTTTGATTGTCCTCTTTTTTAATTTGTATAGGGAGGCATTTCTTTTCCCTTTCGGATGGAGATGAAGATTGTATTTACTGGAGTTTGGATGGGTTACTGGGGTTGATGGATAGGACGTAGATGGGATTGTATGAAGGGGGTTTTCTTGAGGGAGGGGAGGGGGATTTAGATATTGAGTTGAGTAACTGAGAATTGAGAGGGGTTTTTATTTCACGTTTTGGGGGTGTTTTTTTTTGAATTGTGATTTTTGTGATTTTATGTGTTGGTGAGGCTGATTGAACCACGACTCTGATATATACTGAGTATTGGTATAGTGTTTTGGTGTAGTATGGTACGGTACAGGTCGGTATGGTATCACGAAACTCTGCACATATGCATTGGTAGGTATGCTTTCTGTTGATCTCTTGTAGTCGGGTCTAACGCCAGAGGTACGGGGTACTTGAGATATAAAACCAATCTACTCCAATTCCCCATCGGATTCAATTCAGTTCAGCTCTCCGTAAGATTACTCCATGGTGAAGATGAAATGTACCTACCTACGTCGTGAAATTATCATGCACCAAAGAGTCACCCCTCGACTCATAGCACAGGACAGGGTATAACAACGTCTTGCGCCACCTCGAAAACCCATCTTTGACTCATTACTCACTATGGCTCATCCCGCATCAAGTCCCCTTTGCGCACCGCAGTGCCACAGATCCCTGCTAGCGTCGGCTCGCCATCCAGGATTTTTCTGGCATAAGAAGGGTCCTTGGGCTTGGAAGGAACCGAACATTGACATTTTCCGCCTGCATTTGAACTTTGCGGAGGTACGAGTACCCCACTATCAACCTCTCTACCTACCTTACAGTATCTTAGATACTTGCGCAACTCCAACGACCGACCACGACAACCCACACCTCAGTAAAGAAAGAAGATACAAGAAGATCAATATCTAATACGACGATATGGCGGTCCGAGCACAATTTGAGAATAGCAATGAGTGAGTATATTTCTTTTCTATTTAGAGGGGGGAATTGCCCCTCTTTTTTTTTCTTTCTGCGCGAAAAGCTTTGCCCCTCCTTTGAGGATGCGATACGATGCGATGCGCGAGGATGGCTGCAACGCTGGGATGCAGAATTTAATTGCATTGGGTGATTGGGAGGATGTGTGCTGATGTGATATGATATAGGGTCGGTGTTTTCTCGACGTTGACGAATTCGTATGCGTTGGTTGCTGTGGGCGCGAGTGAGAATTTTTATAGGTTCGTGGTTTTGGTTTTTCGTATGCCGGGGGTCGAGGTTGAGAGGGAGAAGGAGGGATGGGGAGAGGGATGGGGGGAGGGGGGATATGGTGGAGGGAATGCTGATGGTTTTGTGTAGTGTTTTTGAGTCGGAGTTGCAGGATGTTATTCCGATTATTCATACTACGATTGCTGGGACGAGGATTATTGGTCGTATGACTACTGGGTATGTTGTTTCTCTTTCGGAGAGGGAGGGGAGTTGAAGGTAGGGAGTGTCATTGTGCTGATGTGGGACTCGCAGAAATCGAAAGGGGTTGTTGGTTCCTACGAGCACGACGGATCAGGAGTTACAGCATCTGCGAAATAGTTTACCGGATGAGGTGAAGATACAGGTACGTTTAGGAGGGGTTTCCGAGAATGATTCGAAATATGGATATGGATATGAACAGCGCGATGCTAACATACCAAAAAGAGAATAGAAGAAAGACTCTCCGCACTAGGAAACGTCATCGTCTCCAACGACCACGTCGCCCTCGTACACCCCGACCTGGAGCGCGAAACCGAAGAAATCATAGCCGACGTCCTCGGCGTCGAAGTCTTCCGCCAAACCATCGCCGACAACGTCCTCGTGGGATCCTACATGGCGCTCTCCAACCAAGGCGGCATCGTGCACCCCAAAACCAGCATCCAAGACCAAGATGAGCTGTCCAGTTTACTACAGGTTCCCCTCGTTGCGGGTTCCGTCAATCGAGGAAGTAGTGTGGTGGGGGCCGGGATGGTGGTTAATGATTGGCTTGCGGTGACGGGGCTTGATACTACGGCGACGGAGTTGAGTGTTGTGGAGAGTGTTTTTAGACTTGGGGAGGGGCAGGGTCCGGGGGCGATTAATACTAGCTTGAAGGATACTATGGTTGAGTCGTTTTATTGAGGGGGTTGTAGCAGTGAGGCGAGCGGGGGGGTTGTACTCTGGCTTTTGGGGATGGGATGGGATGGGATGGGATGGGATGGGATGGAATCCTTTGAGCTTGGTTGTATGGGGAAGAAAGTACTGCAACTAGGAGATAAGGTTCCTGTCCTCTTTTCTAGGAGTTCTTAGGGGATTTCCTGGTTAATTGTCTATCCTAAATTCTGGGTGCGGCAATCAAAGATATTTTCCTTCTTCCCCAACCGATGACCCTCTCTTTTCTGGGGTTTACCTGTACTCCCTGGGATTCTCCTCTGGCCAGCTACGCAGAGCTAGATATAATCAGATACTCTGTCTCATCCCATGTCCATTTCCAATTTTTCTTTTTATTCCTTGGTTCTTGAGTCTTGGTTCGAACGAGCACTCCACCTTTACCCGTCTCGTCATTTGTGATTTTGAGTTGTGAGTTGTTTGAGGGTATTTATTCATTGACTTATTTGCTTGCTTGCTTGGTACTATGTTTTTTCTTGACTCCTGATACCTGATGTGAGATGAGTGATGAGTGGTGAGTGATGAGTGATAAGTAAAGACTAGTGGGGAAGAGGGAGGTTTGGGGGAGATTTGGGGGGGAGGGAAGAGGGAGGGAAGGGAAGGGAACATGATTTTTGTATGTCTTGTGTGTTCGTTGTAAGGTGTAAGTTTATTACATTTCGGGGTCTGGGGATTGGGAATGAGGAATTGGAATCCTGGAGATTTTCTAGTGGTGCTGGCTGGTGGGTTGTTTTGGTAGAATGGATAGATGGATAGAGAGGGGGGATATAGGATTGGAGGGTAGATGGGGAGGAGAGAGGGAGAGCGCGAGTGAGATGTGTTGTAAGGTTTTGGGAGTAATCAGAAAGGGAATACAGATACTTGTACGGATGGGAATCTGAAGAGAAGAACGGGGAGCTATAGTAGAGCTTAGATCATTTCAGATCAGATTAGAATAGACGGTGTGGATAAGCTGTAAACCTATTAATCTTGTTAACTGTTATAGGTGTACGAGTATGGTGTAGTATACTCTGGTAAATGTGTATAATGTGATTTGGATTGATTGGTTTGATCGGTTGAACGACGGTGATGTGATAACGGTGATAGGGTAGGATTATAGAAAGAGCTGTGAATCAGAGGTGTAAAGCTCCTATAAACAAAAGGTAGAAAAGCTAAGGGGATTCTACAAGTACGAGAGTTTCGAGAGCGGCTCTTTCGTAAATAGAACAGGGTAAAGGGGAGGGGTCCTTAATCTTAACTACTCTCGCTCGTAAGTTTTAGTCAGATTCCCTAATCGTTGAGCTATCTCTAAAGTAAGCTAGATATTAACTTCGCTAGAGGACTCGAGAATTATATATCCTTCTTTCAATTACTTAATATTTGTTAATCAGGTGGGAGTTGTAGCGTTAATACTTGGGCACCGCTACGTAATACTATCACAGCTATTTAGCATCGCCAGATGTTTGAGAATTGCCCTTTTTTTGTCCTAGCTTAATCTCTTTCCTGGGCATTTCGATAAACAAACACCTACTTATTTCTACACTTACGAATACCCCTCACCAAGCCAGTAGACATCATGGCAACCTGATTCGACATAATACTTAAGATCTATTAGTTACCAGACAAGTGAGCTCAGATATAATACGGGAAATTTATGTTCTAATACGAGCAACTTATGTTATAGCTTTGTCGCTACTCACGCGATAAGACCTAGATGATATAGGACCCTTAGGACAATTAGGAATTAGATAGATTAGATCGCAAGATTAAAGGTTTATAGGTCAACTTAGTATAAGATCGAGCAGAAGAGTAAGCTAAACAAGTCGCGTAAGCTATGCGAGCCTCTCAAATGTAGCGAGGTCTACGAAGGAAGAAACAACTCAACTGGATATAAGCTGTACATACAGTTTAGCTAGTATAACAAGTCCAGGCTATGTAGTCATCAGACCCGCCGTAGGACACGATAACAGACTACAAACCTTGTAGGCCATACCGACTTTCTCCTTGTGAGACATATATCTTTAGATCTTTCCACTGACTTCGAGGAATTCAAATACCTGGCCAAAGCTCTTCATCTTCTCGACACTTCTCTGTTTCGAACCAACAATCAAAGTACGAACCACCCTCTTAGCAACAGCACGAATCACCCCCCTTTTTCTTAAGCGAAAGCAACTCGCTACCTCGCACATGTCAGGTGCGATATTCGGACAGAAGAGGGTTCAGTTTTCACCCCTTTGACCCCGGAGGAACACACGTGGGGGACTTTTGCACTTGTTTATGGAAGCGACCTTTTTTTCATTTGTTTTGGACAGGATATATCATATTGCTTTGGATTTAGTATGGATATCGATGTATGGACACCGGTACAGGATGGAACCGGCCTGAACACTCATTTAGATATTGGACTTGTATTTGGACAAGGATTTGGATGTTACATTTAGACCTACTTGGATATCGGCATGTACTTATAAAGAGTATCAAGGACAAAACAGGAGACTGTTAGAATAAGCTGTGTAAAAAGTGGATTAGAGGAGAAGCTAGCTAAGGGGCGAGCAGGGCTCTAATATAGGAGCTGCCTGTCGGCCTGGAAGTGTCCGGAATAGGACTAGCGCCTTATATAGAATATACTAGTGCTAGACAGTGGAGCTACGAGTGCTCGTGTGGTAATAATTGCCGCCACGAAATCGAAAGACGATACCCTAGCGTTACTAATCCCTCTAAATAAGAAGTATCTAAATCGGTGGCTCTTTATAAGCATATGTCGATATCTAAATACAAGTCTAATACCTAAGTAAGTGTCTAGACTAGTACTAATCCCATAACCGGTATCCATATATTAATATCTATCCCTTAGACCGTAAATCACTCAGCGCCAAGGCTTGGCCGCAACGTCAGGTCTCGAACCCGAGTTATAGCTGTCAATTAAACCACACCTACACCTGAAAACGTCGCAAATCTGTAACCTTCTGTAGGAAATAGTATCTTAAACTGATATTTTTTAGCTCGTTGAGTGATTCCACGAAATCGGTGATTCCTGTCTAAGAATAAGTATACTACCACTTCTCCTACCACCACTTCTACCACCACTTCTACCACCACTTCTACTTCTACTTCTACTTCTATATATTCTTTTTTATATCCGATCTACCCCTCGTAGGATAGAGGAAACACGATCTATCGACATAGAAGAATAAGAGAAAGTTCGTCAAAAGCCCTCTATACTAGGAACCAACATTACCGCGTCTACGCCTATACCGCGACAAGTTTGTTGGCCCCTCGTACCATCAGTACCCCACTAAAGTAACAATTTAATACTTAGCACGGCCTAATTAGGTATAGCGGCGCCATGGCTCGCTTAAGGCCCCGTACCAAGCCTGGGCACTGAGTGATTCACGGTTCAAGGGATACTAAATCTAAAGTAATATATTATATCTATCCTAAACAAATAAAAAAAAGTCGGTTCTATACTTTTTACTTACTTCTAAACAAGTATAAAGCGAGTCTGTTCCTCTACGTCTTTCTAAGTCCTTTATATATAGTGTCACGAATCACGTAAGCATGTGACAAGTGAAGACCAGGCGGCGTCCTGACAGTTCGAGCACTATCATATCTCTTATAGCAAATAGGGATGCTTAGACTAGCTAAGCGATCCAGGGATTTCATTACATTGTAATCACGTGACCATTTGCATCGCCAGTATCGACAGGCGATGCTGGCGACATGTCGACAGCATCGACAGGCGATGTAGGCGACGGCGGAACATGAAGGTTCTATATAAGACTGGCACGTCTGCCATTAGATAGGAGCTTCGTGCTCAACTTAGTTATCAATCTTATCATATTAGTTTGACATCTTTGATACAAGTAACGAGTTCACTTCCAAGTGAACAACCCGATAGTCTTCTTCTTATCATAGCATACCAACCAGCGAACACCCAGCCAAGTTTAGTTAGCCAGTTTGAGTATTCGTTACATATAGTTCTACGGGGTTAAAAGGGTGAAAACCAAAGCCTCTTCTGTCCGAATATCATACCTAACAAATATAAGGCAAGTACTTTTCGCTTAAGAAAAAGAGGGATAATTTGTACTTTAGTAGTTTGTACTTTACTTAGTTCGAAAAAGAGAAGTATCGAGAGGTAATAAGAAGAGCCTTAACTAGGTGTTTTACTTCGAGGCTAGTAGAAGGTTCCGAAGAGTTATATATCTTATAAGGGGAAAGTTAGCATAGCGTACGAGGGGTATAGCTTACTAGTTCCATGCGCGCTAGCTATACTATATATACTAGCTAAAAGTATACTAATTCAACTTGTTTTTCAGCTTTTCGAGAAACTCGCTAAATTTAAGAGCCTTATAGCTCTTACGCGGCTCTTCCTTATACTAATCTATTATATAACCTTTTAATCTTACGATCTAATCTATCGAGTTCCTAATTATCTTAAATATCTTAAATCGTCCAAGTTTTATCTTATTAAAAAAGTCGTCTTATAAATTACTTATAATCTACTTTAGTTCTCTTATACTATAACTATTAGATAGTAAGTATTATATCGAATCGGGTTACTATATCTACTAGCTTAGTAAGGGGTATTCGCGAGTATGGATTGTATCTATTTTAAAAGAAAAGAGATCGCTCGAAAATAAATAGAAAGTATAATTCTCGAAGTTAGCTAGTAAAGCTAGCTTTTTATATAATAGTACCTAAGTATTAACGTTATAATAGTAATATAAGGTAATCCGAGATATTAAAGAGAGTTTCTCTAGTATTTTTCGCTAAAGTTATATTGGGTTGAAAGGGTATTGGGTGTGACGGAGCTGGATTTCATTTGACAGGATTTCATTCGCTTGGCCAAGCACGTGACGAGACTTGGCATTGGAACAACTTAAATAACTTCGCTCCTTTCAGATTCTCTTCTCTCTTTAGTTTGATTTCTTCGTACCTACGGTTTTAGTTCTAGCAATTGATTCAAAAGCTGTATACACTTTATCCTTTGTTGGCATCCGTGACATTGGGTACTGAAGGTCATGGAGAATTGATTGCATTGTAAAAGGTAGCTATCTAAGGTGTTTATATAAAGAGTGTAAGGTTTAGGTAGACAGGAAGCATTTAGGCAGCAGAGCTATAAGTGGATCAAATAAGGAAGTGGAGCAAAAGAGAAAGTAGACCCAGCACAACAAGTTAGTTAATTTAACTAGATTTCGTTCGAAGAATAAGATATATCTAGGTTCTAAGGTAGTACTACTATTTATTAAGGATAAAATAGAAGACTATTAGAATAAGCTATATAAAAAGTAGATTAGAGAGAGAAGCTAGCTAAAGGGTAAGTAAAGCTCTAATATAAGAGCTATTTATTAGCCTAGAAGTATTCGGAATAAAACTAGCGCCTTCTATAGAATATACTAATACTAGATAGTAGAGCTATAAGTACTTATACTATAATAAAAGCTACTAATATAGATTTATATACTTCTTACTTAGATAAATTAGTAACGCTAGAATATTATCTTTCGAATTTATAGCGGTACTTATTATAATATAAGTACTTCTATTTAGTACTATGTACTACTAGTATATTTTATAGAAGGCGCTAGTTATATTCCGGACGCTTCTAGGCTAATAGATAGTACTTATATTAGAGCTATATTACTTACTCTTAGCTAGCTTCTCTTTCTATTTTACTTTTATAGCTTATTCTAATAGTCTTCTATTTTATTCTTGATATTTATACAAATAAAAAGCTCTTATATTAGAGCTACTTCGCTCGCTCTTAGCTAGCTTTCCTTCTTACTTTACTTTTTATAGCTTATTATTTTTCTAATAAGTTAGTCTTTTATATTATTTCTAATTACTTATATAACTATATTAGCGATTATAAATTATAGTTATAACTTAAGCGGGGGTATAAGAGCGTCTAGCGTAGGAAATACTATTACTAATATATCTTATTATAATATAAAAGTATATAAAGATTCTATTATACTATTAGTCTAGGAACTAACGTAAGAGCTAAATTAATACTTTATTAAGAGATTAAATAATATATAAATTAAATATAGCGGTTCTTATAATAAGAATAAAGAGATTCTTATATTAATAAGTTATAGTTATATTATTTAACTTTCTTATTCTAAACGTTTATATTAATACTTCTCTATAATGTATATTAAGATAACTTAATACTTTATATATTAAAGTTTTAGGGTTATTATTCTGAAAAGTTTTTATAACTAAATAACCTATAATTATTTAAAAATAACTCTTTCTTTTATTATTCTAATAATTGTCACGGATGCCAACAAAGGATAAAGTGTATACAGCTTTTGAATCAATTGCTAGAACTAAAACCGTAGGTACGAAGAAATCAAACTAAAGAGAGAAGAGAATCTGAAAGGAGCGAAGTTATTTAAGTTGTTCCAATGCCAAGTCTCGTCACGTGCTTGGCCAAGCGAATGAAATCCTGTCAAATGAAATCCAGCTCCGTCACAATAATATAACTTAACTTATACGTTATATTAAATAAGGCTTATTATTAGTTTTCTTTTATATTACTAGCTAGCTTTAAGTGCTTATAATTCGCCTATATAGTAGAAAGCGAAGTATAAGTACCCTCGGCTACGCGTCCCTTATAAGAGTAATAACTAACTAAAAATAAGTATATAGCTTGGAAATGGATATATAGCTTATAAATGTTAGGAAATAAAGTTCTTAAGCTAAAAGCTAAGTACTTAAACTTCAACTATATTAGAGACTAATTAGACAGGCTCTATCTGGTTGAATACAAAGTATAAGTAGGATAACGCTCGAAATATAAACTAGACAACATATAGAGATCCCCTCTAAGACTCCCGCTAGCACATAGCACGGCGAGCTAATAGCTAGGGGCATGTGGGTGGGACAAAAGAGCTCACAATATTGTAGCTGACGATATGGTGGATATGGTGGTGGTGTTGTAGGAGTGGTATTCCAGTAGTACTCAAGTAGGGTGGATATATATCCCAACATAGCTTACTAAGCAATCCCATCCTCATTCACCATAAATCCTGCTACGAAAGAAATACTAAAATACTACTAGCTTACTCAAAACACAATTACATGGATTCAAAGCCAAGCCGTTGGGGCATTGTATTAAAACAAGGTGATCTGCTAGGATACCTTTGTACGAATTCTCGCTACAGTCATGCAGCGTCATCTGGTAGCGGCTCGTTCTCTAACCATTCCGAAGAACAAGTACTGCCCTCACTATAGAATTGAACCTTCCGTAGCAACCCTGACGATGCCCATACATGACGCTGCAGCTCGCCTGCACGCAAGTGGGTACCATACATAGCAGTGAAGCTCGAAATATCATCCATCATCCAAGGGTCTACTTTACAAATCAGATTTTCTGATGTTGGGTCTTTATGCCTAGCCAGGAACACGGGGTCTTTATTGCCTATGTTACTATATAACCCTGGGTTCAAAAGGATATTGATGTCAAGTGATACAGCACGTTCCTTCAAATCTTCCGCATAATAAGGGTCTCCCTAGTGCTGAGCAGCCATCCAAAGATACCAGCTGGGCTTGATGTCTTCCATCACCGTTTGGTATAAATATTGGTAGTGGCCAAATATGCAAGTAATTGCAATGGATTCCTTCATCTCGGGACACTTTTTAGCGAGGTCATCGAGAGCACTACTGCGCGGAATAAGAGGCCACCAGATGCAGAATGGAATCTCGTCTGGCTCAAAGGTACCGGAAATATCGTTGTTCATGATACGTCGTGCATTGATGGCTGTTTTGATTTCTCGTTCGCTGCCCTTAGGAGCTTTACTCAATCTTCCAGGGTTGGACTTCAGCTCACCCATCCACCAGCGAGCGAACATGGTGTGGTGGTAAATGCCACGGACGATACACAGCACCTCAGTGTCGTTCATATAAGGTCGCGACAACCGAGCGTATCGATCAATGTTTCCCTCATAGGCGGCTACTAGGATAAGAAGATCTTTGCACATGCTCGGCAAGTCCAGAGGCAGAGGCTGATAAACCTGTGCGACCTCAGCTGCCGTGCATACATAGTCCTCATCCTCAGAATCTCCCTCGTCCTCGTCGTAATCGGCTGCGCGACCAAGAGTCACTCCGATATCATTGTCTACGGTAATGTTACCCCCAAGGTCACCATCATCACCCTCCCACCATTTCTTGATATCTGTAGGAGGGCGAGGCACCCATACATAACGCCCTTCCCTAAATATCCGACAAAGATCTGAATAGCACGTGGTATCCCCGTTGAGAAATGCTGGGGACACGGGCTTTTCAACGTTAATTATTCGTGTTATCGTCCATTACCGCATATCTACACGGCGCAGACATGATAGATTCGTAAATTGCACGACTATTCTCTCCCCCCATCTTGCTCTCCCGCGCCTCCTCGGCCATCGAGACATCCGGAAGCAAACCCAGTTCATGATAGAGATCGAGAAAGCCAGCAACGGCGCACGCACGTCCCACCTGATAACGTAAGGCGGGGTGCTTCTTTGCAACTTCACGGTATGTTTCCTCCGAAGCCAAGTCTGGGTGCCAGATGCAGTACGGTTGGGCGCTTGGAGCCATCGCGTCGGGAATTTCATTGCTCATGATCAAACGAGCATTACGAGCTCGTGAGAATTTGGGGAAAGAGACGGCTGTTTCCTCGCATAGACGGATGACTTCCGGGCTTTTTGCAAAAGCATAGTGGTGACGGATTCCACGGACAACACAAGTTCGGGCGGCTTGAGTTCCCAAAGAGTCGGGAATGCGCTCTCCTCGCAGTGCTTCCTTGCACTGTTCTAAGCTGAACTCGGTATTTGTTAGCCTATCGGTGTTTGTATTTCGAATAGGGAGTTCTTGAGATGACATTTTGGAGTTCTGACTTTTGTTGGTTTTTAGTGGGGAGGGGAAAGAAAAGTTTTTGGTTTTGTTGATGGGCACGTGTCTTTAAGCGAAGCATTGGTCGTGAGAAAATGAAAATGAGATAGATAATAGCGTGAAGTTACAACAAAACTAATAAGGATGAAGCGGTTTTTGAAGAAGAAACAAGAATGGATAGAGGGAATTGACTTGTGTGGTGATTGATAGGTCACGAAAAGTGGGTAGTCGGTAACTGAAATTAGTGAACAGGTCATTATGAGAGCAAATGTGATTGCACGGCGACAGGAAATCAATCCGTTCCATTTATGTTCAATCGTCAGTCGGTACACGTTACATCAAATGAGGCTTATTGTTGGTTTTCTTTTGTATTGCTGGCTAGCTTTAAGTGCTTATAATTCGCCCACATATATATATAAGTGGAAAGCGAAGTATGAGCACCCTCAGCCGCACTGAGCAGCGCGAAAGGAAGCAGCCACAAAAGAAAAGGAGGGGAAAGGGGAAAACCAAGAATAAGACGAAAAGGGAGACAAGGAAGGACTATCCTTGAAGTAGGCGTATCTACCGCCTAATACCGATATTCACTGCCTGTCCTCTAAATATTTCTACTAAGTACCTGCCCTGTATACATATCTACCTCTCTTACATTTGTGCAACAAGCGTGGGAAAACCTCTTTTTAGGCCAAAACCACACCCAGAAAGCCCTCCTTGCCTGGCGAAGTAATCACACTCCCGACAAGGTTGATCCGCTCTATATGTCGGCATCAAGCGTCGGTAGTCGAGAATCGAGATCAGAAAGCGTAGCGTATTCGTTCCGAGGACGTAGTATCGTCGCGCAGGAACAATCGTCGCACGCGAAAGGAGCGAAAATAGAGCGTTTGTTCCAGTTCCACTACCTCCACAAAAGAGCTAAAAGAGCTCACAAAAGTGTAGCTGACAATATTGTGGTGGTGGATATTGTGGTGGTGTTGAAGGCATGTGGCAGTAGTGGGGTGGGATATATATCCCACCATAGCTTACTAAGCCTTCATCCTCATTCACTATAAATCCTGCCATACAATATGTATTCAAGAAAACAGTTCGATCCAAAGGAGGCGGGAGTAGATTGGACAAACTCAATCACTCCACGAGTTTCTGGGCTCGAAAGACTTTCCGCTAAGGAAGTCCTATCTTTCCATGTGGTAGCGAGGCAGATTGTAGACCCTAAAATGTAGGCCTTGGCTAATGCGCTTATGATCACAAGATGGCCACTGAAATCATCGAAACCAAGTGAGCCTTGCCGATTTGCTGATAGCTTTGGTACCCTTGCCATCTTGGAAATTTCTGCGCCTTTTGGATCGATATGGAGTTGGGGAGGGTGCCAGAGTTGGTAATTCACAGGACCGTTAACAGAGATCCAAGACCATGAGGGTGCTTGGACTCTTTCTTCGAAATGTTGCCATTTCTGAGGTTCCGTAGAATCGACAAACCATGCCAGTGAACGCAAGGGGTCCTTCTTCCACACCCCAAGTATACAGTCGTCATCGAGATGTGAAGCCATCTGATCAGTTATCCCCAAAAGTGCGATATATCGATCCTTTTTCCTGCTCAAATCCCGTATTGTATAGTTTTGCACGGCTCTTCGCCATAGCCAATAGTATTCCTCCTTGGGAACCGATGTGTGTGAGCCTAGGAGAAAAAATTTCAACGCGCGACTATCTGCATCCCTGAAGTGAGGCGAAAAGTCTCCTGGAATTCCTGTTGGTCGGTTACAGGACGCAGAGTGATGCAAGCAATCCCAAAAGAGGCCCTCTGAGGTAAGGTAAATGGTTCGGGGAGAAAGAAGCTGTTCTTGGAACACCCATCCTCGAGTATCTAGTTGTTCGAAAGGTCGGTATACAAAGTTGCCTGTATTGAAAAACCACTCATGAATTCGTTCTTGGCTCCAATCTTTCAGAGGTAGTTGACTGTATCTATTGTCTGCCGGCTTGACGATAAATTCCGTCTCTCTTGACGCCTCCGCCAGAGAAGTTTGGCCCCCGGAAGCTATAGTCAAAACTGCATTCTTATAGATGGAAGGCATCTTATTCGCTTGTATGTGCCAGTCCCCACCGCGCCCTTGAACGATGCACTGCAAATAATATTAGCTGGTGTACTGATACACATACTAGGATAATCTACCAATGCATCCACCCACAAGTATTGAATTCCGAGTCCTTTCGTAATCGTACAAGCCTCCTGGATCTCACAAATGAGATTGCAAGAGAGTACCCCATTGGTGAAGTCACTCGGAGTTTCGCGTGTCAGAATCGAGGACCTCTTAGGGGTTGAAGGCCAACAGTAGCTTAGTGCTACATAGGCACCTCTTAATCCGCATGTATCGAAGACCTTTACTTTAGAATTCGAAGAGTAAGGAGTTTGATATTCTGTTAGGTCGACAACACGCTTGGGTAGTATGGGCCAGCGTTGACTCAATATATTGGGGCTTGGACACTCAGGATGGGTTGACCAACACTGATGCAACCAATATGCTGCTAAAGCGATTGTCGCCTTTTCATTTTCATCATTTCTTTTTAATTGCAGTTCTGTTTTATAGATACCGCAGAATGCATCTACAAATAAATCTGAGCTGGGATTGTTTGGGTATTTTTTAGGAACGTGACATACCTTGAAGTCCTTCAAGAACTAAGTAATGAAGGATTTCGCGCGCTCGAAGATCCTTGACCATGCGCTCCACGAATAAATCAAAACTCCACTTAGTTAGATCTCTCCTATCGTTTTTGAGCTCAATATTTTCAAAAATCTCTCTGAAATGGTTGTACAGTTGAATTGGTTCTATATCTTGCAAGGTCGGAATACCTGCACCATCATCTAACGCCCTGTTGTTTCCTTGCTCACTCTTATCATCGAACGAGGCGAAATCCGAGCTAGTAGAAGGATGGGGTGATGACCATCCATCATTGTCATTTTCAGTATCTAACAATATGCTCTGGAAGACTTGGTAGAGCGTTGGTTGCTGGGAGAAACTTCCAGAGTGAATATGGCTGTCGGGAGTGTCGAGACCATCATCCACTACTGTGTCTTCTATAGATGTACTTGAAGCGGATGCTTGTGAATAGATCCGTAGTCGCACAATGCTGGCGACGCTTTTGATCACCTCCCATGATGTTCCAATTGCCCAAAAAAGCTGGTAGCGAAGAGTAGGCTTTGAGTCGTTAGGCAATATGCAATTATCAGCCTGCGCCATCGGAGCAAGAAGGTTGGCGAAGAGATAATTGATATAGGACAGGTGCCCGCAGGAAAAGGATTTCCCAAACATCAGGCAACAGCCTTAAGCACAAGTTACATCACGTGGCTCACATGTTGTACAGTAAGTCAGGTGAATGGTTTTATCTCCGTAAGCGAGCTGGCACATTGGATTAGCCAATTCCGTTTTAGCTTACATCCGGTCTTCCAATCAATGATTTTGTTTATCTATTTCTCTCAGGTAATTAAATTAGAGGTAATTTAGGTGGTCAATTCCTTGAGCGATGAACAAATTATTCATGAGTGAATTAACGATAGATCCTTCTGCTCAACTTTGCAAGAGCTCTGAGGAGACATGGTGCTAATTGTCCCAATTAGAACTCAGTATACAATTTTTAGTCAGTTCAACTGTTGCAATATAATGTGAGTGTTCTCAGGGAATAAAAGAGAAATAGTCAGCAGATTCTAGATTTGAAAACAGGGGATAAGAACGAGGTTACATGTATCATGCGAAGTTAACAGAGATTGATTCTTTACATATGTACGAAACGCAATTATATGTCAAGTATACTAGGATTCCCCCATAATATCCACAGTTCTCTTCAACGCCTCAATATCGCTGTCAATTTCCATCCTCAATGGACAAAGTCTTTCAAGCTCCTCTTGGAGTCTTCCTCCACCAATAGTCAATTTTGAAGAAATTAATGCTTTAATCCCATCTTGAGCGTCTTCAGCACTCGCATTTCGAACCAAACTACTCAACATTGGTCTGGGTGACTGTCCAGAGTGACAGCGTTGCTGGTGGTCGAAGAGATTATAATTTCTGGGAAATCCTCTCGTATGGCGTTTGCATGTTGTGATGAGGCAGCAGTATGTCTTTGATCCGTGGACCTCACGCGTATGTCGGTCAAGACCTCCTTTGTCGCCAAATTGTGGATGTTTACAGCCTTGAACACTGCAAACATGGGGCTTGCTGTACTTTTTACATTGCTTCCTTTCGACGATCAGTTCAGTTGGTTTAAAACTTCAGCGAGAGCATGCCATACTGTAGCTGAGGTTCTGTTGAGAATTCACGTTCTTCTGAACAAGAAGGAACTCCACATTGTAGTTTTGTTTCGCTGTCGCATAGCTCCGTCGTCTCAATGGGACCTTCCTTTATCATGTTCTCGGTAGACATACCAAAGCTATCGGAAGGGATTTTGATAATATTGATAGCTACAAATGATGATGATTATTTTCATGCATAACAACTTTTTGACACTAGCCAAGATGTAATATGATATTGAAAGCGGGACACATACTTGAAGCTTGGAGTAATCTCGCCGGTGGGTTCTGCTACGTTAAGTAACAATTGGTTTGTATCTATAAAATAGTTTAGCAAATATTCTCATCATGAGATGACAACCCTCACCAGATTGAAGTGTTGTATTTTCGATCAATGGATAATGGCTTATGGCAGAGCCTGGAAAATGTAAGTAATGTGGCTGACACCCAACACCTCAATCTCAGTATAAGAATCCCTGGTATTGTGAGAGGCGAGAAAGAAATCGACACGTGACAATGGAAACCCAGGGCAGGCCAATGACTTCTCACTCCGAGCTAAGACTTGGACCCAAAAGACATTTTGTGGTCTACTAGGTATTGATGTGGGCCGCCAAGTATGTGTACACACCATATGTGTCCTTTTGTTGGCCTATTTGTTGCTCATATGCGAGATTATCTAAAACTGTACGTGTCAATAATGAAAGATAATTTGTGGGCTCATTTCTCCTACAGTCAAAATGAGAACCCGGTAGAGAGTCCCGATATGGTAACGATGAAGTTTGGCCTTCAGGTAACTTTAGAAGAAGAAGATAATTGGATGAGAGCATATTAAATGGAAGCTCTTACCTTGGAAGAACTCTATGTATCCCTCCTTGAGCTCTCCAAACCTTTCAAAGTTAGTATGGTATGCAGAGACGATTTAGCACAAATTAACGACAGTATGGCTTCTTTCTTGCAATCTTGAGCGATAATTCCTTGGGAAAAAGCTATCTACTCAATAGTCTTTAGAATTGAATCGCTCTCTCACACTGCTACGGATATAGCAGAGATCTTCAATTGGGCTCCAAGTGGCTCCATCGCATCTACAAGCTGCCGGGCGTAATGCAAGTCTCACATAATCTGTAATCACTGCAGGATCTTTTTCATCCAAACTTAAGCAATAATGTCAATATTGTTTTGCAGTTCTTCCAGTAAGTTACTTTCAAGCCAACAGATTTTGTAATCCAACCAAGAACTCCTCAAGGTTCCCCTCCCCTCCCCGGCGTCTTCATCCCTGCCCCCTGAGCCCCACACATCGCTCCTAACTCAACCGAGGCTCCCACCAGCATACATCATACCCAACTCCCAATAATCTGGGGAATCAGCCGCCAACACAAAAGCAAATTCTTCCGCACCGCAGAAACCTAATCATGACACGCTATAAACACCGGCAATGTACTTCGCCATCCCTTCCGATTGCTGGAAACGAAAATACTGGGGTGTCCGGCTGGTTCCGTACAGTAGTGCGGGGTGACAAGGTTTATTGAAAATCCGAAAAAAACAATAACGACATGGGATTTTTTTTTTCGTTATAGTAAGGTGAGGGTGCTTTGAGGTGGGAATGCGACTTTCAGTCTTTCACGATGCGGGTTTTGAGATTGTTGTTGGTGCTTTCGATGGTGCTTTGGGGGTGCGAGGGGACGACTGATGGGTTAAGTGACGCGGTTACGTGGGATCGGAATAGTGTTATGGTTAATGGGAGTAGAGTATTCATTTTGTGAGCGATGGAACCGCTTTTGTGGTTGCTTATGCTGATTGAGGGGATAGTTCTGGGGAATTTCATTATCAGAGGATGCCAGTACCAGAAATGTGGCTTGTAAGTTGGATATCCTACTGAATTACTGGCAGTAGAGCTAACAAAAATCTAGGATATATTTCATAAATTCAAAGCCAGTGGATTCAACACAATCAGGTAGGTCATATCCTTCCCTTTCACCCCGAATATCCCTCCAATCTGACTCTCATAAGCATCTACCTGTTCTGGTCCTACCACTCCCCATCCAAAGGAGTCTACGACTTTGAAACCACCGGAAAAAACGTCCAACGTCTCTTTGACTACGCCAAAGAAGCAGGTCTATGGGTCATCGCACGAGCAGGTCCCTACTTCAATGGCGAAACCAATGCTGGTGGTCTTGCACTGTGGGGTTCTGATGGCAGCATGGGGAAATTGAGGACGAGTGATGAGGCTTATCACCAATCTTGGATTCCGTGGGTTGAGAAGATTGGGAAGATAATTGCGGACAATGAGGTTTCTAAGGGTGGGGTGAGTTTTGGGACTGTTTCTTGAATTAGGGGGTGAATTGGATGTTGATTGCTGACTTTTGCTTGGACGACAGACCGTAATTTTGAATCAAGTGGAAAATGAACTCCAGGAGACGACTCATTCAGCTAACAATACGTTGGTCATTTACATGAAACAACTGAAAAAAGCTTTTCGAGACGCGGGTATAACGGTACCACTTACACATAACGAGAAAGGAATGCGCTCCATGAGCTGGAGTACAGATTACCAAGACGTCGGCGGATCCGTGAACATGTATGGACTAGATTCTTATCCCGGAGGGTTAAAATGTGATGTAAGTCTCACTCTCAAAGTCTCTCCCGGCATCATAGCAGACTGACCTTTGAAAAGAGTATCAATTCTGGATTCAACTTAGTCCGGACCTATCACCAATGGTTCTCAAACTACTCCTACACCCAACCAAATCATTTCCCCGAATTCGAAGCCGGCTATTTCACCCCATGGGGAGGAAGTTTCTATGATGATTGTGCCTCGGAACTTGATCCCGCATTCGCGGATGTATACTATAAAAATAACATTGCGCAAAGAACGACAATTTTGAGCTTGTATATGGCTTGGGGAGGAACGAATTGGGGGCATTGTAAGTCCAATCCCATTCAGCCAAATTTCAGATGGGATTGAGTTGTTTTGGGATTTTTGAGCTAATGAGTTCAGCTGCCGCGCCTGTGGTGTATTCTAGCTATGATTACTCGGCTCCATTGAGAGAAACGAGACAGATCCGGGATAAATTGTCTCAAACGAAGCTTATTGCTCTTTTTACGAGGGCTTCAAAGGATCTTTTGACAACGGATATGATTGGGAATGGGACAGGATATGCGGTAAGTTCTCTCAGCTCGGGAATCCATCATATTTTGGAACCTCAACACCCCTTTTTTCATTACGCGAAAGGACTCGAAGTGTTAGAGACACGACTTATTCTTTACCTGAAAACTACTTCACGTGATCTAGTCTGACCTCAACTCCATTTCAATGGAGCAGATTGGATGAAAGAAAGTCCTTCTCATCAACCATCAAATCTCTCTTACCAAAACCCCATATCCAGTACCCATACACAACCCACAAAAACAAAACTAATAAACCCACCCAGGTCTCCGACCCCACAATCTTCACCTGGCACCTCCGCAACCCAACCACCCTCACCTCCTTCTACACCCTTCAACAGAACAAATCCTCCTCCCGAACATCCATCACCTTCTCCGCCACCCTCGAAACCTCACTAGGAAATATCACAGTGCCAAATATCAATCTCAATGGAAGGCAAAGCAAGATCTTGGTCACGGATTACAAGTTTGGAACGCATACTTTGCTTTATTGTTCGGCGGATATCTTGACGTATGGGGTTTTTGGTGATGTGGATGTTTTGGTGCTGTATCTTGAGGAGGGACAGGTTGGGGAGTTTGGGATTAAGACGGATGGGGAGGAGGGAGAGGAGATGAGTGAAATGAGTATAGAAGGGGATGCGGTCGTGGAGAGTGTGGTGGGAGAGGGGTTTGTTACTGTAAGTTCCTTTCTTTTTTATAAATATTCGACCAACTCGATTCCTTGACCTTCGGGAATTCCCTCACTCTTCCAGCTTCCGAAAAGACAGCTAATACCGAGAACAGACAACCTACACCCAAACCACCGGCCAAACAGTCCTCCAATCAGACAATCTCCTAATCTACCTCCTCGAAAAGAAAACAGCCTGGAGATTCTGGGCTCCTCCCACAACCACAAACCCAAACGTCCAACCCAATGAGCAAATCTTCGTTCTCGGTCCTTACCTCGTGCGCAGCGCCTCAATCACAGATAACACAGTCTATATCTCAGGCGACAACGACATCTCAACAACCATAGAAATCTACACAGGAACCCCCATCACCACAATCTCCTGGAACGGAATCCTCCTTCCCGCAACAACCACCCCCTACGGCTCAGTAACAGCACCAATCCCCGGCGCAGAAGAACGAACCATCTCTCTCCCCGCACTTGAAGACTGGATGGCAGCCAACTCCCTCCCCGAGAAAGAAAACGACTACGACGACTCCTTATGGACAATCTGCAATAAAACCACAACACTCTCACCCATCGCGCCTCTCACGCTTCCCGTGCTATTCTCAAGCGACTACGGCTTCTACGTCGGCGCAAAGATTTACCGTGGGTACTTTGATGGGGACGAGTATGCGGCTGTGAATATCACCGCATCAGGGGGTTTGGCATTCGGGTGGTCTGCTTGGCTCAATGGCGTGTTGATAGGTGGAGATACGGGGAATGTCGATTTACCAACTACGACCGTCGTCCTCTCTTTACCGAAAGCCTCGCTTAAAGGGAGTGATAATCTGGTTACGGTAGTAGTAGATTACCATGGCCACGACCAAACCTCTACCGCTAAAGGAGTTGAGAACCCGCGTGGAATCCTAGGTGCATTCCTCATCCCATCCAACACTACAAACTCCACCACCCCATACACAAAACCAGAAGCGGGAGTAGAAACATCAACAACCACCGGTTTCAAACTCTGGAAAATCCAAGGAAACGCCGGCGGCAGCTCGAACCTCGATCCTACCCGCGGCCCCATGAACGAAGGCGGCCTCCTCTACGAACGCCTCGGCTGGGCCCTCCCCTCCTTCCCTTCTTCCTCAACCCCACAATTCTCTCCCTCCCCCCCCCTAACCGGTCTCAACACCTCCGGAATAACATTTTACACCACAACCTTCACCCTCGCCCTCGACAGCGACCTCGACGTGCCCCTGGGCATCGCACTCACCTCCCCCCAGGGGACCGTAGCAAGGGTGCAGCTCTGGGTCAACGGGTACCAATACGGGAAATACGTCCCGCACATTGGGCCGCAGAGTGTGTTCCCTGTCCCGCCGGGGGTGGTGAATAATAATGGGGTGAATACGCTGGGGGTCAGTATTTGGGCGATGAATGATGAGGGAGCCAGGTTGGAGGGGGTGGAGTTGGTTAGTTATGGGGTGTATCAGACGGGGTTTGGGTTTGCGGGGGATTGGGGGTATCTTCAGGCTGGGTGGGAGGTGGGGAGGGAGGGGTATGCTTAAGTTGTGATGTTGAGGTTGGGGAGTTGGGGATTGGTTGTTTACGCATTTCCTGATTTGGATGAGGGAGGATCTACTACTGCTGTGCGTTCTGAGGAGCTGTGATTTGAGTGGTGGGGGTGTTGAGTGAATTTCTGCTCCTTGCAACAGAGCTGCTTCATCCTCTCGGTTCTCCTTGCCAATGAATCTCGGAATTAAGGGGTGTGGATGTTTGATAACGGTAAATAGTACATGTAACTTTGTAAACTTATTATCTCGATAATACTAAATCCTCAGCATAACATTAAACCACAAACAGAGACTGCTAAAGTAACTCGCGTACTACCCATCGCCCTGTTCCCTATTTATAGATACTCTCACATTAATACAATCAATACACTCAACACCACAAAACAAAACCAAGCAAAATCCAGAGAAATAACGCTTTAATTCCGCTATGCTTGCCCACCAGTAAATGCAAAGATACCCCAGTACAGTCAGACTACGTAAACCCCTCACAAATAAGAGAAGAGAGGGCAGAAAAATATAACTATCATCGCTTCATTCAAAAAAAAAAAGCGTTTTAAATGCCTCATAAAATCACCCATCACCCCAAACTCCAGATTCATAACCTCATTATCAGGTGACAGGTACCCGTTCCGTCAAGTTCCCATGCTTCGCTCAAAATCACGACTTAACAATCTTCTCCAAAGCCTCCAGCAAGATATCAGCATGGTGCTTTTGGAAGATCAACATCGGTCTCAATCGCACGGCCTTCTCTCCACTACCCCCAATATTAACTCCAAATCCCTTAGCCTTCTTCAAGAATTCATCTCGTCGTGGACTGTCAAATGCAATGAATGTTCCTTGTCCTTTGCCTCTCAAATTATGAATCTCGCCTGGGTATTTCTTCGCCAAACTCTCAATACCGGAAAATAGGTAATCTCCGACCTTTGCAGTGTTAGAAACCAGGTCAAGACGCTCAATTTCCTTGATGATAGCACGGAAGAGGAGGGCACGTGCTGGGTCTCCCATCCAGGTGTTGAATTGACGGTATGGTTTATTTGGTCGTAGCTCGGGGTTTCCAAAGTAGTATCCCGCGGTCTGGGCCTTCTTACTAAATGTTACCATGTCCGGAGGGGTATCCAGATTCCAATGGTCGTGGGCCCAGAATTTTCCAGTTGCTCCAACACCAGTTTGTACTTCGTCAACAATGAAAAGGACATTGTGTTTCTTGGTCAATGCACGGAGACCTTGGAAGAAAGCTGGTGATGCGTGGTTATCGCCTCCCTCGCTCTGAATGGGCTCTACGACTACGGCGCAAGGTGGGAGGTGGTGTGTTGTGATGAGACGCTCGACATCAGCCAGGGCCTCAGCTTCAGCCTTCTGGTTCTCAGCAACGTGATCTTCCAGAGGGTATTTGAAGAGAGGGAAAGTAGCTTGAGGCCAATCAAAAGCGGGAATATCGAGCTTGTGAATTGGCTTGGAGCGAGTGGTAGAAAGGGAGCCGAAGAGACGGCCGTGGAAGGCAGATTTGAAGGATAGGATAGAAAGTTGGGGAGCACCAGGAGCTTGATTGAGCATACTGGAAGCGATATCCTCTTGGGTAAACTCTACGTGTGCTCCTCCACGCTCTTGTTGTCGTCGCCACATGAAAGCAGCTTTATAGGCGGTCTCGTTTGCGTCGGATCCAGCCATTGCGGTGAAGACTTGGTCTAGTCCCTTTGGTGCCACGGTGAGGATACCAGTTCGTAGGACTTCTGCCCAGTCGTGGGAAGGGAAATTTCCAAGTGCTGGACGATTAATGAGAGCACTGGCCATTTCGGGGGTTTGGGCGGCTTTGAGGAGGGCGGGGTTGTTGTATCCTACTGGAATCGAGGCAATTTGGGCATACCTATTTTATAATTAGCCAAAGCACAATTCTTTACAGAAAGAAATTGAGCACTTACACATCGAGCAAGACATTTCCATCTGGATCAGCAATGTAATTTCCAATGCTCTTGGTGTAGTCGGCAAGCATGTTCAGACTTCGAGTATCAAAGACAGTATCTAAATCCTTAATTGCCTTCTTGCTCTCAGGACCTGGAATCTCGGTCTTGATTCTTGGCCCAGCCGGTTCACCAGTAATATAGGATGTCTCTGCAGATGGTGCTGCCTTCAAAGCAGATGCTGTGAATGCTCGCTGAGCTCGAAGGGAGAATTGAGGGGCGATACGGGTAAGGGAAGGACGCAATCGCGCCGCTGCTCGAAGGGATACCATCGTGAGGATTTGTGTACGAGGGATTGAGGGGAGGAAAGGAGAGGAGAGAAGCCGTATGCCACAGAAAAAAATATAAGAGAAACGGGTCTTCCTGTCTTTTATTATTTCTCTGGTTTGTTGATAAGGAGTGGGATAGTTGGCGGGCAAGAACAAGGGCGGGTTGGATTTATCTTATCGCGAGGGGAGGGGAGCTTGACTCGGAGCGTAATCGGAATTGCAGATGGAATCCACACCACAAAAGCTCCCACATGTATTCATGGAAAGAACATGCAACGAACTGGGTCAAGAGACAAACTAAAAAACGTAAGAAACTTGGCAGTCGAGTCGAGTCGCCTTTTATGTACAAATCCCATTGGCATTACACATCCACATACACGCCATCGCACGGTGGATGGCCACACCATGCGGTGTCAATGTACAATTGTAGCTAGACAAGTGAGGGGCAACTCATCACTGCATTCATCATGCCCCAGCTTTCAAGCTTTCCCACCACCCAATAAGCTTCTTTGGTCTGTGGTACCCCCGAAAGCAACCTCCCTCCTCCCCTGCCAAGACGACATTGTAGCGTTGGGTACATTCCGTCATACGGAGTACGGAGTTGGGATTCGGATAGAGAGTCATGAGGTTGAAAATAGATTCAGTATCCCGGTTTTGCCCCTCATCCTAACCGCCACTTTGAATTCAGGATTTCAATTATCTCTGGAGAATTTATCTTCAAGAAAGAAAATGGATTGTCTTGTTTCAAAAAGCGCTATTTCGGAAAGTCTTATTTTCAAAGAACGGAAGCATTAAAAACAAAGTATAAAATCCAGCAACAAATATACACCTCACATCAAGGAACACTATCAAACCCCGTCTTTCCAACTCCAAGATTTCGTTCCGATATCGGTGTTAACGAACTCCGGACCGAATCCCTCGACTCCACAAGACACCCCTCAATTCCACTATCAAATAATTCCATAGCAACCTATTCTTAAACCTTGCCAACTGGAAATTTCTTATTGGCCGGAATTCCAAAGTCAATATTGATATAAAAATAGTATATCCGTAGAGAACTCTAATCCCATCCTTGAGAGCCCTCGCTTAACTTCCATTCTCCGTAGCACCAGTAGGTATACATATCCAGCAAAACAAAAACCCCAGATTTATCAGACCTATTCCAGCAAGTTATCTTTCAGCTTCCAGAAGAAAAATCTGGACAGATAGAGGATATGTGAATAATAATCTGTAATATACCTTAATCACCTAACTAAACCAACAAACACCTCCCCCTCCCTTTAAACCCCCACCCAACAATTCCAAAATACAAATCAAAACTCCCAATCATCGCTCTTCGAAACTAGCTTCCAAACAACCCTTAAAACAACAATCAAGAAAGAACCCCCTCTACCTATACCTACCTAAATATCCATTTAGAAATTTAACCCAGATCATTCCCGTTCTAGTGACCTATCTACTCCATATACACTAACTACTACTAGTTTAATTACATTCTCTCCCTTCTACATTAGAAATGTAACAATAGAAAAAAGATTCTTAGTTTGAAAAATCGAATAGGAAACCCTCTCCTCTACTTTCTTCCTAATCCTAATCCAAATTCCAAATAAACCAAAAATAAATACCTATATCAGAATAAATAAACCTCCTATAATATCTTGTCTCATTCTCATTCTCCTTCTCCTTACCCCCCTTCTATCCCTTATCCCATATCCCCAATCCCCTAAAACCATGGATAAAATTAATAAACTACTTAGATGAATAGTTAGTTAGCTTAACTCCTACCCGAATTCACTTACTTAAGTACCTACATAACCAAGTAGATCTAACCACGACTCTACGAGTATTCGAGGAGTACTCACGTATAGTATAACTTACAAGTACAAGTACGAGTATTTATATAAAACGTGTTACGTAACTAACTATATAGTAGTTAGGTACTTAGGTATTTAGTAGGTAGAAATTCCATCGCTTAATCCGGGCTTTAATAAATTCTACTCCCCAACTCCTAGCTCCCTCCTATCTTTATTATATAACTAAGGTGATATAACCAGGGCCCTCCAACTTCTTCAAAATAGTAGTAGTAGCTAGTAATATCAGGAAGGAAAAACTTCTTAGGTAGGTACAGTATAACTATATCTCCACCCCCCCTTTATCTGTAACCTGATCCAATCCAATCTGATCTGATCTAAGTCTATCAAAGACTAGACTAGTTTTACCTCCTCATCTCTACCCTTACGACACTAAACATAACCCAAAACAAAAAACACCAACTAAAAAATCCTAATATTGCTAACCTCCTAATAATAAATAAATAATGATAACTAACCCCCTCCTATCCTCTCCTATCCTACCTATCAGTTCGAAAATGCCTAAACCCAGACCGATCCATGAAACTCCATATGTGCATAACTCTCATCCCCATTTTCTCTTCTATTTACAAATCATCCGTATGAAGTGTTGTGATATGGTAGGGAGATAAAAGGAAGAATGGAGGAGAGGAGGGAAGAGGAGGGAAGGGTAAGTGTTGAGGGCCTTTTCGTTACAAGAATAACTACATATATTCCAGTTTTGGAGTCTTGAGTTTGAGTTCCGTTGTTATCCACGTCTATGCTGAACGCTGAACGCTGAACGCTGAACGCTGAACGCTGAACGCTAACATCCATTGTTCAGCAAAAGGCGCTTGAAGGCACTACAAAAGTAGACCTTATGTAGCTAAGCAAAGCCACAAGATAAAATGTAGTAGAGCCAAAGGGCTTACTACCACGCTGAAGTAAATGAGGCTCAAAGAAAGGCAAAGGCAATCAATCAATGACTCATCACCTCTTCCCTCTCCCGTCCTGTCCCCTTCTCCAACCCCTCCATCTTCTCACTCCCCAGACCACCTGCTCCCTCATTATACAAAGACGTTCCATTAACACCCACCGCCACATTACCGTTTGCCCCAAACGCGTCTTGATTCCTCTCCATCAGCAAGGTGGGTTGATTCTCCATTTCACTTCCATTCACCATCTCACCCCCTTTACTTGTGCTGAGAACAACAACATCAGATGTGGTCCCCAGATCCAGATTTCCATCCAGATCCATCTTCATAGCTTCCTCATTCTCACGCATCAAATCTTCTTCCTGTTTCCGTAACTCCTTTTCTTCTTCTGTTTCCTCTCTCGGCTCGAGTTCCGCATCTGGTATACACAATTCCGAAGGAGGAGGTGGTGGGGGAGGTGGTGTAGGCATGATGGAGTCGTCATCTGCTTCTTTGAATCGTTTATTCGAATCGCTATCACCATCATCTTCATCCTCACGCGTGCGTTTACGTGACGTATCAGGAGATCCGATGGGGGTATCTGAAGGCATTATCGGAGAAGGAGGAAGAGATGGCGTGGGTGTGTCGTTGGAGAGTGAAGTTTCTACGTCACCCGCTGGCGAGGACTGGACGCTCAAATTCGGCACAGGAGTAATACCATTAGTCAGTTTCTGCAACTTGTCTCGCTTCCTCTTGTCTGATTCTTTCTTCTTCTCAACAGCCTTTTCAAAGTATTCCCGAACAAACTTCTTGACCTTCTTCTCTTGATTTGCAGAGATCTTGGTCGGGTCCTCGACACGCTTGTTCTTGAAATCAGACGCAACAAGTTTTTTACCAACTTCTTTTGCAAACCGCTTCAAGTCTTCCTTGGGTAAGACCTTGGTGAATTTCTGCATTACGTGTTTGATGTGTGGAAAAAGCTGTCACGCCATCAGTATTACAATCAAGAACCAATCGGGACCACTCACAGTATTTTCGTAAAGTTTCATCTGCTTCTCCTCTGACAGCGACCGCCATTTCTCAACCGGTTTTTTCTTTTCCTTGGGGGTTGATTCATCCGTAGTAACACTCTGAGTTGGCGTCTGTGACTTTGCCTCTGAAACGATACCTTGAATGATGTCTTGCAGAGCTTTTGCAGTTTGAACACTTTTTGGTGTAGCTTTGGGTATTTCTGGCTGCGGATTGAGATAATCTGGTCTTGGTCGTTCCCATTGCGAATGTTGTACATTATCATTGCTGATCCAATAATATGTTTTCCCCTTATCGTCTTTTTGCTCGTGCCAACCAGGAGGTAATGGCAGCGGGAAGTGCCTGCGCGGTTGATGTTGTCTTTGTGAAAATGAAGATTGAAACGCCGGCCTATGAAAGTTGTTGCAATTTTTTGGACCCGCGGGTGCAACGAGTGCAGGCGCTGGTGATTTCACGACCTCCTCGGGTCTCTCATTTGAGCGACGCTCATACGCCCCTGCTGAATTCGGTTCGTATTTCTTTCTAGGTATCCGATAAGCGACCTCCAATTTACCCCACTCGGCGAGCAGCCTCTTGGCTTCCGAAGCAACATCTTCGTGCTCTGAATCCACCAAGGATGTAATAACAGCTTCGATTTTGGAGTCGGAGATTTTGTTTCGTGTGAGCCTTGGGAAATGATAGAGAATGTCGAGGATTTGCAGAATAACATTGTTATCCTCCTTCCATGTCGTAAATGTCGAGCGAAGAATCTGGTAGCCGTGCATTTGCACAACTTTATTCCGGACTCTATCATCATCGCAACGCTGAATACGACCGAGCAGCTTGACGGCAATCCATTTCTCTTTGCATTGCATGAGGGTGGCCATGACCTTTCGGACACCATCCTCATCAAGGCCCTTTGGTTGGACGTTGTTGACATATTCTTCATCATCCTCCCCTGTCTTCTTTTTCCGGGGTTTCTTGGCCACTGCAGTGTCCCAACCATCTCCATCATCAATACCAAGAGCTTCAATAGTCGCATGAGACAATTTGGTGGCACGCTCTGTTTGTGTCTTTCCTCCAATAAATCCCGTGCAATTTGGCTCTGCGCAATAGCACGGCTGTGGATCAGCACCATATCGGTCAACATTATAATTGAAGACCAACTCCTCGCCCTTTTGGATGTTTCGCTCGGCAAAAATGCCCATGCGCAACTTATTCCCGACGACCCATTTGTCCACGTAGCAGTTGGGATTACAGGAATGGTTGCAGAACCGTCCGAGATTTCCTTTTTTGGTAGCGTCGACGAACTCATTCTTTGTGAGTGACATGAAGTAGAAATGTTTGATGCCCTCTTGATCATATTGAATGGTCCGCTTTCTAAAGGTGGGTTCGTTGATGACTTCGCCAATGTACTCGAACACGAAATCATTAGCGTTCAGGTCAGTATTTGCTCGCAACCCGTATCCTTTCTTTTCCGTCCGGATTACAGAGACGTCGGCGTAGCGCCGGCGCTGGAAGCGCTGGTTTTCGCACTTGACACCACAATTGCACTCGTCGTCAACGCACTCCATCTTTGTCGCACGATTGATACAGTCGGAGTCTTCTCCACATGCATGGTTCTTGCCATCCTCTGATGCGACGTTAGTAGATCGCGACACTAGATTTTTGGGGAAAACTCACGCCAATCTTCAGAACAGTCGCAATCCAATGAATCATGCTGTGAAGCTCCCATGCCCTTGGAGCCATATATGCACTCTTTAATGACTTGAAATACTTGCACTGCTTCTTCTTTGACATCGTCTAGATCACTGAAGAGGGGTGGCGGTCGCGCAATAACTTTTTGTAATGATTTTCGTGACAATTTTGGCGCTTTTCCCGGCTCCACTGTGACAACAATGTCGCCGCCAATGACTTCTTCCTGTTCATCTTGTTCTGAATTTGAGGAGTCCTGGGGGGTTTGGATATTTGGTGACTGGATTGCTGATTCTTTGGAAGCTGTGGTGGAAGACCGAGACTTCTTCAGCGAATGCGTTTTTGCGCCTCCATATGTGCCATTTAAGGCGATTGTCTCCTCGTCTGAACTCCCTCCCAGCTTCATACTACCCAGTGCCGCATCCACTACGACCTCGGGCTTGACCTCTCTTGTATCGTCTGCCATTGTGAAATTGGGGCGGATATGGTAGAACGGACGCGAATGGCCGCAGGCAATGCGTGGTGGAGTGCCTTACTTGGGAAGGGTGGTGGTGGGTGTCTAGGGCGCCTCGAAATCTTGGGGTGGGAGTCCGGCGCGGATGCGATCGCCGAGGCGCCAGCAATTGCGAAAGGCGAGAATGAATATTGTTGATGGATACAATGGCTTGGTTAGCCTGGGATATATTTCTGCCAGCAGGAGACGTCGAGGATGAAGGGGTGCTCGCGTCTTGCTCCTCTTGAGCAGCGGATGCAGGGAGGTAGAGGAGGTACCGCACAAAGGCGAGTACCAGAAAAGTGATGCGCAGAAGCTGAACTACTTGCCAAAGTCCTCATGAATGGCGCCGTATGGGTGAATAATTGGCAGAGACAGAAAGAGGGGGGAAGCGCGAAAAGAACGAGCGAGGAGTGGTGCGGCAGTGAATGAAGATGAGGGAGAGTCTGAGTCTGAGTCTAGGAGGAAAAGAAGGCCAACAACGTTAACCCACGCTTTCTACCAGCTCAACTCCTCCACCACTTCCACTTCTTTCTTCCACTCCCAACGCAGCAAAGCAGTCTCCTATGCCAGTCCCAAACTGTCGCACGCAATGCGATCACATGTCACTCTTGATTTGGTCCAGTCCCATCTCCAAGTCGGGTTTCATTGCTCTCAAATTGCTATGTAAAAGAAATCTGAATGATGATCAAAATGGCACCCTGTAATAGGAACCGACTAGCGCGCCGGAGAAGGCCGTGCTTCCCCGAGAATAATAATCGTGATGAATCCAATGTTGAAGCATAAGCATTTCTGCGATATCATAAGAAAAGTCCCCAGCCCTCTATTCCATGTTTCCCTTCCATTGGCTCTTGCGGCTCGTCCCAGCTGCCCGACGGGCGCCCTCAAACCCCAATATTGCCAACCTAGAAAATGCACAACCACTTACTGCTTGAGAAAAGAGATGCATGACATACTTGAGTTCTTTTCGCTTCTTCATGAATCCATCTTTCCATATTCCAGAATTACGCCATGGCGTAATTCCTGTGCCCATTCCCTCTTTTTTCCTGCTGGCAGTACTGTGAGAGTAAAGACTTCTACCCCACATACCATCCTGCTCTCCAAAAGAACAAGACAGTTCCTCTGCTGGAGCGAGTAATTAATATAGAAGGCGAGTAGGGTAATCCAAATTCCTCTGCAGATATCCTCTTGTTCTTTGGGGTCTTTGACACAATTGGAATATGGCCGCATGCAAAGGAGAAGGTCCATTTCTTACCTGCTTGCTTGTCCCACCAACACCCGTATCCCAAATTCCAACCATCTCCCAATGGACCCTTATTAACTCCCAACTATTACCAACTCCCCAACGGCAAAATTATGCAGATGCGGTGTGCGCCGACGGGCCGCAGAGGAACATGTTGTAGAAGTCGATTGCTGGATCTTGCATTGGTACCTTCTGAGTACACGCCCAGTCTGACTACAAGGCGGGGTGACCTCTCTCCTCCTCAAGTCACTTGCGGGTATTTGGAAATGGATAATATCGTCTTCGGGCACGCAATATTCAGCAGTCGTGTAATCTATCATCGGCGTCAGTAGAGAGCGGGATCCAAAAGGAGCAGGTTCACTGGCCTCTGCCTTCAGTCCTGTGAGCGTGTGACAGCACACAATGCAGCTTCTGGCGACATCGGCCCCACCGATCATGTCGGTATAAGAATGGCGATATCCAGACGACAAACAGTGAATGGTGTTTTGACGTCAAGACAACTATCGCATCCTCCAGGAAGATTTGAGACGGGTCGCCATGGTGGCCATGCTACTCCGTCTTCAAGTCTCACTGAGGACTAGCCAACAGCGTCTCATTGCTTCTAGGCAGGCCGCATAATGGGCCTCGTTCCCTCGCGCGCCCAATCAACCACGACCGGCAATACCACGAGAACACCACCCGCGACTTGGATTGCGACAGAGTGATCAACACTGACACTCAAACCAGAAGAGGTCGATTTAGAGATCTCCCACGAGAAGTCAGGAGTCGCGGGAATGCAGGTCGCCGAGGTCGAGTGGTGGGTTGATGGTCGAGAAGGTTCCTGGTAGCCTTGTGGATTTGCGCAAAGGGAGGGCGGCCATTGGGGAGGTGGTTTTCTGTTGGTGTGTGTGGAACGGCAAAACCCCCGCTGGAGCCCAGGAATCGACCCTTGGCCGTGAATGATTGGCTTGGGTGATCAGCAACAGAGCCAATACCCTCAGTTTGGGTGCACTTTCAGATCCCCAGCGCACAAGGAATCGCAGATCCAGCAACGAGAGGCGACCAATTGTTTGGTGTAGGGACAAGCGACCGGCCCCCTTTTCGACGTCGCTACAAACTTCTTGGACGAAAGATGTAAACAAACATTTTGTTCGAGGCTAGCGGTCGAGATATCCTTCTTGGTCGTAGGTAGCGTAGTTCGTTACTCCTATCTGTGCACGCCGCTGATCAAGTCCCCATGCCCAAGGTCTTCCGGGCCTGCCTGCCTGTAAAGGAGCCGGATTGCGACAGCGACAGGCCTTGTACTGGAATCGCTTGGGAAGCTCGTTCTTGCGCGAAAGCGAGACCAACCATCAAAGCGGCACTGGTTGACTTTTCAGTCACTCCACTCCGCTGTTGCTTCAAATATCCTCAAACAATGATTTAGAATCTTCAGAATAGTTTCTAAAGATATCTCGGAGCTGCCGGCCATTTGGTTTCTTCCTTCGCCATCAGAATAGATGCTGGAATTATTTCTAGACGATCGAGTTAGACCGAGTCCAGATGAACACCCGCCGCTATGATGATCTGGCGGAAAAGGCTGCAGTTTGTGCAGTGTATTTCTGCGTCTGCGTCTCCTAGTCCACTCAAAGTATGGCCCGGAAAAGTTGGTGCATCATGCAAGAATTGCATGCCATGTCTCATTTCACTATGTTATGCCCTTGGCCTGATTGCCTCTGCGCTGCTCCCTGCCTTTTACGCCTGTAGTGTCTACACCAGTACTCGAGTAGTGCTGGAAGGAGTGCCAGTAGTAGTATGAGTACTGGGTGGGAGGATCAGTACTGGTACTGCGCTACTATCTGCTACGCCCTACCAGTACGCTACTTCCCACGCTACTTCCCTACCGTACGCTACAGCTACTTCCCTACGCTTGCAACGGCAGCGCAGCGCAGCGACGTTTAGGTTGACAGTTGCTCTTTCCTCCTACACCCAACACGCCCTCCCTCTCCTCTTCCTCACCCTCTCACCCTCTCACCCTCTCTCACCCTCTCACCCTCTCACCCTCTCTCACCCTCTCACCCTCTCTCCCTCTCTCCCTCTCTCCCTCTCTCCTCCATTCTCTCCTTCCTTCCCTCACACGCCCGACAAGCACTACCTGCGCCTGCACCCCCCCCCCC